TAACCCATTGGCTTTAAAAATGGATATATTTATATTAAAAAAAATCAATAATAATGAATTTCTATAGATTGCCAATAGTGTGATTGTGGGGACCCATCAGTAAACAATAAAAAATACTTGAAATGTTCGCCGCTAGATGACGCTTTTCATATTTGGCCGTAGTGTAGATACGCACCAAATTTGTGGAAATGTAGTAATTACCCTTTGATCTCACCCCAAATGTCGATAAAATTGTTAGTTAAGTATAGATGTCGCTGTTTTCGGATATTGAGTTATGATATAATAGGCTAAACATATAAAATAAAATCACTCCGATAATATCATCGTCGACATTACTCACATATTTTCATTTGCATTTAAAAATTAAGAATATGAGGATGAATACATAAATCGATATATTTGCCACTAGATGGCGCTGTGTTTACATTTTACCTCAGGATGATACTCACCAGCATATCACAATACTCCATTCGGCAAATATTGAAAAATTAGATCGGGGTAAAGCCATTGGAATTAGAGGAAGTGGAAGAACTTACACCGCGCAAGTAAAAAGAAAATAGACTAAAAAAAGAGCTAAAGAGTTGCTTCGCTTGGCCGAAAGTGGTGAACTGCCGAATTTGGGTTTCTCCGATGAGAAAACATTCGTTGTCCAGCAGTTTTTAAACAAACATAATGATCGTGTGTGTTTCCTTGCCAAAGAGGTCAGCTGAAAATGTGTATATTCGGTTGGCCACCAGAACTCAAGCGCCGGCCATAGTGATGGTGTGGACAGCCGATAGTCGCTCTCCGCTCGTATTAATCAACCGTGGCATCAGAATAAACGCCGAATATTACCGCGAACATATTCTGGAGGGTGTATTAAAGTCTTGGGCACGCAAACATTTTGGCCGCAGACTTTGGACAGTCCAACAGGGCTCAGCACGCGTCACCCAAGACTGGTTACAACATTTCCAGCTCACAATGGCCACCAAAAACTTCGAATACCAATCCGTTGGATTATTGTGTCTGGAGTATTTTGGAAAGCAAGGTTGGCACTAAAAAATACCAAAGTGTCGATCACCTAAAGCTAGCGTTTCGCCGGGAATATTTCGGGCAACGTATGACGGTTTCATTGTCCGTTTGAAGACCATAATTCGTGCCAAAGGTGACCAATTCGAACAAATCTAAAGTTATTCTAAAATTTGATGCTATTTCCGACATTTTTTGCTTTCATTGAATAAAAAATACCAAAGTGTCGATCACCTGAAGCAAGCGTTTCGCCCGGAATATTTCGGGTAACATGTGACTGTTTCATTGTCTGTTTGAAGGCCATAATTCGTGCCAAAGGTGACCAATTCGAACAAATCTAAAGTTATTCTAAAATTTGATGCTATTTCTGTAATTTTTGTCTTTCATTGAATAACATTTAAAAAATGTAAAAATTATGGTGTTTGACTTTGTCCTCAAGTGTCTGGTGCATGCAAATAATACTTCGATTTTCGTTTAAAACCCAAAATTTAATGAATCTCTTTAGATAGGTCGATAGGGTGATTGTGGGGATCCATCAATAAACAATAAAAAATACTTCAGATGTTTGCGGCTAGATGTCCCTTTTTATATTTTGCGTAGTGTAGATACGCACTACATTTGATGAAATATTCGATTAATAGCAAAGAACAAAACCTCAAAGTTTAAGTAACTCATTTTTGTGTGAGGTATAGATGTCGTTGTTTCGTCGGGTGAGTTTAAATTTGGTATGGTGAGAAATAACTTTATGTTAGGCTAGGTTTTAAATTCGATGAGTCTTAGTATGAATCTGTTACACAGATTCTGTTTCTTAATTTTCATTTGTGTCCCACGAGGGACCCTATATCCAGTGTTAGGGTTAATATTGTTTACACATCTACGTAATAATTACACTGCGTTACGTGCTATTTATAATTTTGCATTTTTTGTTCTCATTAAAAAAAACGTAATATGAATAATTTATTTAATTTGATAAACCACAAATAGAATTAAATTTCCGTGATTACAAGTGGATAAACTCAATATAAAACCGAATCGAGATAGAGACAAAGCAAATAAGAATAACAACAACAAAAGTATACGGAAGATATATAATCAGTTTTGAATATGATTATTATGGGGTTGTTCTAAAAAATAGGTTCTCCTTATAGAAGATATTCTGGAAACCCTTATAGAGAATTAATTTATTATTTTTTTAATAGTTCTTATGGTACAATGTTGTAAGATAAAATCAGAATTTAAATAACAATCGAACCTTTAAGGATGTCTGTTTTAGACCATGCTTTGATATGTCGTCCTCCACTTGATCTTTCCATCGAATTCATGGCCTTCCCCTTCTGTAAACCATCAGTAGGCTCGATTTTATATGCCCTTTGAGGTGGGGCATTCTCACAACATGGCCGTAGTCGCTGCAGCTCGATACGACTGGGTAGTATCAGTGGTGGCCTTGTTTCTGAATTGCTTACTTAACTGTAGCATTTTCAAGTTGTCACAGTATATAAAATGGTCGAAGCTGTAGTTTTCAAGTTCCACAGTTGGTCCGAGTCCACTTGGGTATATTTTTCCTAGGAAGTATTTTTGTTATTGGCATCTTGATTTTAGTTTGGAAGACCTTATTTGATCTGTAAAACAAGTCTACAGGTATTTATTCTAATAAAAACTTATGCATAGGTTACTTAGAAGGCTTTTAGAAGTACATTAAAAAGTAGATACATTATAAAATATTTCTGGAAGGGTTCTGATCCACATTTGAATATCTTTCAAATTCCTCTGGATAGTCTTGTGTCAGGAAAAGTCTGTAGCAATCAGAAGGTATTATCACTATAAAAGTTCTCCTTTCATCTTTAAAATGTTAGTCTACAGGTATTTTTCCGTTAAAAGCTTATACATGGTTACTGGAGATCTTCTAGAGGGAGTGGGCACATTAAGGACCGCAAAGTAATCTGTAAGGCATACGCCTGGGACCGCACGTTTTTTGACAAACTTGTACGTGCTAAAATCATCATAACTTTATTATATATGAAGCATTGTGAAACTGCAATTTTTATCTTCTTCAGTGTCGGAATCACTTGAAAACACTGCCACCTGACTCTTCTTTACAGGTCCAATAATTTCACTGTCACTGGAATCATCCTCGCAATCTTCAAAAGAGTCATCCGCATCTTCTTTCTCACTAGAAACGTCTGATAAATTATCTTCGTGTCGGAATCACTTGAAGACACTGCCGCCTGACTCCTTACAGGTCTAATAATTTTACTGTCACTGGAATCGTCCTCGAAATCTTCAAAAGAGTCATCCGCATCTTCGTTCTCACTAGAAACGTCTGTATTTCAACTTCGTTCGTTTCCATCTCTTTTAGAAAGGAGGCCATTTCAAAAAGCGGCGAGGAATTTGAAGACAAAGGCTATTCGAATCACCAAAATGCAATGCAAGGTGTCAAATTCTCTTTGAGATTAAGTCGTTTTTATTTTGCGTTTGTGCATGTATACAGTTTTTCGTAATCCAGTGACGAATATGGTCCATTTTTTCTATTCAAGATCCGCAGGAGGTTCTTTTAAAGTAATCTGAAAGCTATTTTCATCGATAGGCAATTTATAGAATGTCTTCTATTCATAGAAGAGTATCGATTCATATTCTATTCAGAAGAATTTAGTAGATCGTCTATCCATAGGTTGGACATAAATGTTTCTTATCTTCAGACATTCTTCTGTAAGTATAAAGGCATTATAGAAACTTTCCATGATATATTTTTCATATTTGTATAAGGTATTTCATTTATGGAAAAATTTCCGATTGTTTTTCAATCTAAGTCTTCAGAAGATCTAATTTATATTAAACCCATTTCATTGAAGAAAATTATACATTTATATAAGGTCCTCGGGGTATTTAATCTATTTAAGTTCCGCAGAAAGTCTTTTAAAGTAATTTGAAAATTTTATTCATCGATAGACAATTTCTAGACGTGGATTTATTCATAAAAGAACTTCAGAACATATACTACATTCTCTAGAAGTTATTTTATTTACATCAATGCATTCAGAAACTCGTCTATATATCCAAAAGTGTCATCATCGATAGAATAATTCTAGAAGGCTTTCAAGTATCTTCTACCCATCAAAAGAAATTCTTTGCAAAATCGTATTTCTATATAATAAATCTAATTACGGATAGAATATCATTAGGTTGTATGTGGGGATTTATTAAAATACAATAATTTTATTCAGATGTGTGCCTCTAGATGTCACCATTCATATTTTTTTTGCCGTAGTCTATGTTTGCACCAAAGTGGGGAAATATACTCACCAACAGTATAATTACACATGGTATATGTCTTTGATAGTAGTTAACATTGCCAACTCAAACGTCGATTACCATGTGTTTGCATCGGCAACTAGCAAAGACATAAACCTAATGCGATCAAGCTATTTGGTAACACTATTTTTCACCACACTTGATGCATGCCTTGACTACGATAAAAAAATATGAATAGTGACATCTAGCGACAAACATCTGGACAATATTATTGTTTGGTTTTATGAATGCCCATTTTAACCTACTGGCAATTTATATTGATATTAACTCTAGGATCCTTAGGATTAATATACGAATTTTAAGAAGTATTAAATATAATCTAGAATTGCTGACCACGGCATTCTTTACAGAATTTTCACTACTTTACAGTGAAAATTAGTGTGGTGCGGAATATAAAGTATTCCAATGGAATTTTTGAATTGAATTTAATTGAAATGTTTTGAATAGCATCAGGGAAAAATATAAATTCGTCGTGTATACAAATAAGTTCTGAGCTGTGCTCTTTGCTTTTCCTATTTTTTAAAGAATACTATTTTTTATAGAAGATCTTCTTTTAAGTTCTTCTGTCTTAAAAGGATGAAATAGCAAGGAACCCCTTCTTTAATTAACTTCTCTTATAACTTACTTCTATAATATATTTCATTATGTTAAATTTAATTTTCTCTCTCTTGTCCTTCTTCCAGATGACGTTGTACATAACAGTGGGCCTGCTGACATTAATCCTAGTAATCTGGTATATATTCTATCGTCGATATATACGAGATAAAGAACGACAAAAACTGTTACTTGCTCAAAGTTCATCATATGCCACGGCCGATATGCGCGGCCTGCGGTTTCGTAAACGTGATAAAATGCTCTTCTATGGTCGGCGGATGTTGCGCAAAGTGAAAAATGTCTCCGGCCAAGTGTATGGTGGCCAGGGACGTAAACGTCGTGCTGTTATGCGTTTCGCCAAACGTCTGCTACAGCTGCGTCGTGAAAATATCCCTCTACAAATGAAAACAGTCGAACCTCCGGCGGAGTATTTAGAAGAAACTATGGAGGGGTCAGATCGTGTACCACCCGATGCCCTGTATATGTTGCAGAGTATTCGTATTTTTGGTCATTTTGAAAAGCCCATCTTTTTGAAGCTTTGTAAACACACGGAAACCTTGATGTTGGATCCTGGAGATTTTCTCTTTAAGATAACCGATGCGGATGATAGTGTTTTTATAGTGCAATCGGGTCAAATCAATGTTTTCATATCGAATGCTGATGGTAGTACATTATCGTTGAAGACGGTGCGCAAAGGAGAATCTGTTACGTCGTTGCTGAGTTTTGTCGATGTGTTGTCGGGAAATCCGAGCTATTATAAGACAGTTACAGCTAAGGCTGTGGAGAAAAGTGTGGTTATACGGCTGCCAATGCAGGTGAGGGGATATTAATTTATAATAAATTATCTATAAAGATAAAATATCTATAAAGATAAACTATCTATAATGATAAATTATCTATAAAGATAATTTATCTATAATATAATTTATCTATAAAGATAAATTATCTATAATGATAAACTATCTATAATGATAAATTATCTATTAATGTAAATTATCTATAAAGATAATTTATCTAAAAATATAATTTCTCTATGAAGATAATTTATCTCTTAAGATAATTTATCTGTTAACATAAGTTATCTATAAAGATAACTTATATGTTAACATAAGTTACCTATAAAGATAGTTTATCTATAAAAATTTATTCATATCGAAAAAATATTTGTGAAAAAAATTAATTTATGTAAAAAACTATTTTCTCTCTCTATCCCCCTCTCCTAGGCCTTCAAAGAAGTATTCGATGAAAATCCCGACATAATGATACGTGTCATCCAAGTCATCATGATACGCTTGCAGCGTGTCCTTTTCACAGCCTTGCGGAATTATTTGGGTCTAAATTCCGAGCTGGTGCAGAATCACATGCGCCATAAGAAATCTCAAAATAATGCCCAACAAACACCACAATCTGCATCGCAGCAGCAATCACAATCGCAATCGCAACAACAACAGTCAAATGCCACTGCAACACAACAACAAACACAAGTTAAACATTCACCCGGCCATCGACGATCTCAGGGTGAAACCCCCATCTTGCATCAACATAGTCTTTCAGATCCTATACCACCACCTGATATGTTACAGGATGTCGCCTGTTATGAGGCATTAATTGCCAATGGTTCGGCCCAGTATGTGGCCCAGAGTAGTGTTGGCAATTTATCGACCAGACGTTATTCGATGACACCGGCTGAAATCAATGTTAATGCCTCTTCCATTGATATGCAGCTGGTCAATATGTCTGCGGTGGATAGTTTTCTAAAAGAACTCGGTTTACCCGAAGAAGATCGCTCGTTCCTGGAACCATTTGTTGAGGTTCGTGAAGTGGATGTTGATGTTACCCTAATCACGGAGGGTAATTCCGATGATATTTGTGTTTGGTTTGTTATGACTGGTGGTTTGGCTGTCTATCAGAGTGGTGTCGATCCCATACGCAATTTCCAAAGTGATCGGGTCGATTGTTTCATACATCACGTCCATCCCGGTGAAATTGTGGGTGGTTTAGCTGTACTAACCGGAGAGGCCAGTGCCTATACCATTACCTCACTCTACCCCAGTCGCATTGCATTCATACGCCGTCCCGCCATCTATCAGATAATGCGTGAACGGCCCAAAATTGTCCTGGACCTAGGCAATGGTGTGGTCCGACGTCTCTCGCCATTGGTGCGACAGTGCGATTATGCCCTCGACTGGATTTTCTTGGAGTCGGGTCGTGCTGTCTATCGCCAGGATGAAATGAGCGATAGCACCTACATAGTGTTAAGTGGTCGTATGCGTTCCGTTATCACTCAATCAAGTGGCAAGAAGGAAATTGTGGGCGAGTACGGTAAAGGTGATTTGGTTGGTATTGTTGAAATGATAACGGAGACATGTCGTACTACAACTGTAATGGCCGTTCGAGACTCAGAGCTTGCCAAATTGCCGGAGGGTTTATTTAATGCCATTAAATTGCGTTACCCCATTGTGGTAACGAAGTTGATCTCTCTGCTAAGTCATCGTATTTTGGGTACAATGCAATCACGTTCGGCCGGCAATGCGGCGCCATTGGAAGCGAATCCGGTAACACACAAATACTCCACCGTGGCATTGGTTCCAGTCTCAGAAGATGTCCCCCTAACCGCCTTCACCTATGAACTATTCCACTCGTTGTGTGCCATTGGACCCACGCTACGCCTAACCTCCGAAGTTGTACGTAAACAATTGGGTGTACACACATTCGAACAGAGTAATGAATATCGTTTAACCTCTTGGTTGGCCCAGCAAGAAGATCGTTATATCATTACTTTGTATCAGTGTGACCCATCGTTGAGTGCCTGGACGCAACGTTGTATGCGTCAAGCTGATGTCATCCTAATTGTCGGTCTGGGTGATCGTCCACCCACTGTGGGTAAATTTGAACGTGAAATTGATCGTTTGGCTATGCGTACCCAAAAGGAGTTAGTGCTACTCTACTCTGAGACTGATAGTTCGAAGCCGATGAACACCTTGCAGTGGTTAAACGCTCGGCCGTGGGTAACCAAACATCATCATATACAGTGTGTTAAGCGTATGTTTACGCGGAAGAGTCAATATCGGATTGTGAGTATAAATAAAGCATAAATGATTTTTTGAAATTAATTATTATTATTTATTTGCAGAATGATTTGTATAGCCGTGTTCTGATGTCCGAGCCAAATATGCATTCAGATTTCTCTCGGCTGGCCCGTTGGCTAACCGGCAATTCCATTGGCTTGGTATTGGGCGGTGGTGGTGCCCGCGGTGCTGCCCACATTGGCATGATGAAAGCCATACAAGAGGCTGGTATACCCATTGATATGGTCGGTGGTGTTAGTATAGGTGCTCTAATGGGTGCTTTATGGTGTTCGGATCGTAATATCACCACAGTTACACAGAAAGCAAGAGAATGGTGTAAGGTAAGATTTATAAATAAAAATGGTATAATTAATTTTTATGGAAAGGGTCATAAAGTCTTAAATAGAAAATATGTTATACTGCGTACTTAATACAGTTTTATTGGAAGAAGACTGAAATAGGCATTTACAATGAAGCTGTTGTTATCTATATGAAGACCGGTTGGTCTCCCTTGGTTTGACATATCGTGAAAACCATTTTAATACTCGTCTATTATTAGTACACCTTTTTGCCTTCTATGCGAAGTCCCTTTCTTTGGCCAGAGGTAGTGTTACAATGTTGCCCTTTTATACAAAAACACCATTAGATCTTAATTTTTTCTTTAATATTTCAAATTTTACATATGCCTCCTCTTTTCTAGAAAATGACAAAATGGTTCTTGCAACTCCTCGACTTAACATACCCGATAACATCAATGTTTTCGGGTAGAGAATTTAATAAATCCATACGTGATACATTTGGTGATGTTAGTATTGAAGATTTGTGGATACCCTATTTTACGCTAACCACAGATATTACGGCCAGCTGTCATCGGGTGCATACGAATGGTAAGTTTGTCTTTTGTTTTTTTTTTGTGTTTCCTATCTGTCTGTCTTCTCTTATGCTATCTCTACTACTACCACCAATTTTATTTTGTTAAATTTGTTGTACAGCTAAATGTTTTTTATTTTTTGCACAATTTTTTTTTAAATCAACCTAAATATATATGTTTTTTTTCCAATTTTTATTATGTGGCTATATTTAAAAAAAATGTAATTAATGAAGGCATCATTTTGCCAAAAGAAAATGTATTTTAATCCATCAATTGATGCCTTTTATTTTTGAGTGTGTTCCCACCACCACCATATTTTTTTGTCATTTCTCTTACCACCATTGGCTAATATTACCTATACCCCACCATATTACCTCCACCCCTTCAACATACGTTGTTGTGTTGTTAATCAATTCGTCTAAAACAAAATCATATTCTGAGATTTTTACATACCTAAACTTAAGTATTATTTAGAATGAAAATAAGGATAATTTCGTTTCTTTTAGTAATTTTGAAATTATAAATGAAATTGTATATTTGTTTTTTTCTTTTAGTTTGTTTAATTTAAGTTATTATGTTTTATTGTTTGTTGGTTGGTTGGTTGGTTTGCTTGTAATATTTTCTTATTTTTCGATGTAGAGTTAAATTAAAATGTATTGTTCTTATTTCATCTACAGTGAGAATTTTGGTTATTTGAGTTCAAATAAAAGGGGGGAAATTTTCTCTTAAACATGTGTTGTATATAACTTTGTAGATAGTAGTCCCTTAAGCAAAAGTTGTCTAATTGGAATTTGTTTCCTGGTGTGAATATGCGTTGTTTCTAAACCATATAGAGATTTTTGGGAATGTTTTGTTCCCAAAACTAGTTTTTTCCCAGCATTGTAGTTAATAATGTACATTACAGTAGATTGGTGAACATAGCTTGCTCGTAAACACCAAAAAGCTATGGAATAATCTTATTTTCATTGTCATTACTTATTAATCATTATTCCATTATAATTAATAAAGTTGGCAATTAGTTTTCGGTCACTACAAAAAAGATGTTTTTTAACCTCCATGCTGATAGATGAACCTCGAAAAATACTATATACAGTATTTTTCGGTTAATTGACCCTACGGTTAATTGGTTTCCACGCTTAATTGAACCACATGATGGGGCAACAAATTTGTTATAGGAAAATACATGTAAATTTTCTCGGATAATTAAACCCTGTCAATTGATTTTCCCGCTTAATTGGTTCAAAATTCATGTCATCAAAAATAAATTTCCTTTTACTTTTCATCGGTTAATTGCATAATAATAATTGAAAAATAATCTTCCATTTTTTTACATACATATTTGACATAATTTGTGAAAAAGACTAGGTGGCATCTCTACTAATCAAAACATATGTTTATTGACATTGAATTTTTTTTAAATCATTAGTAGTTCCAATTATACGTGATTACTGTAATTGAACAAACTATTCAATTATGCGGGTTCGGATAATTGGTTCCTCGGTTAATTGAACAAAAATTTGTGCAAATTTTGATGTGCAATTAACCGAAAAATACTGTATAAATCTCACTATTATTAATATTGAAAACATATTAAAAAAATCACCGCCGGAAGGTTCTTGAAAAAATATTAAAAACATTCACTTATGCGCTTTTAGGGGTCCTTGAAGAAAATATTCTTCAAGCTTTAATTTTGACAGCCTTGAAGATGGCAGCCATCGGCCCCCACGGCGTGTCAAAATTTTGAAAATTTGCTAATTCAATATCAAACGCATGGAATGATTGGTTCTGGTAACTCCCTCACAAACATTCAAACATACATTTCTATAGAGCAACCTCTTTTGGTACTTCGCCACAGATGGTCAACTATTTTATAAAAACATATATACCCTATATAAAAAGAATAATAAAATATAAAAATAATTCCGTAGACTTCCACAAACCATAGGTAGGAAAGAAAAATATATATAAATCAGCAATACCGGCAGACACCTTCTTTCTACACACATTCTCTAACTGAAGTTGAAACATTCTTGCGAAATTGTTAAATATTGGTATTTCTCACTTTATCCACATTTCCCGAAAGAACGGGCAGTAATTTGACCCTCTGACTTCTTGGAGGATATTTGTGTCTATAATTTCACATTCCGAGTTCTTTGTCCTGTGTTTTAGAGACAAACCGTTAGTGTCGCATCTATGGTTACCAATGTTGACGGCACAGCTCATTTATTCGGTCAAGAATGATCCCGATTTAATTTTGTGGAAATAGGTCCATATAGTATATATTCGTTCGATTTCATGGACATTTTGAAACCAACATATGTCTTATTCGGTTTATATTTAGATATAGCTTCCATATATATTTCCGGCAGATTTTATTTATATGGTGATCCATATATTCAACGTTTATCGATTATCGAGAAGAAATTTTGTATCGTGTGCAGAATTGAGTCTAGAATGATCTGTATGAAATTCTTTTCAAAACGCTTCAGATTTTAATAGAGCTCCCATATAATCTAAACCGATTTGATGTAAATTGTGCACCAAATATTAAACATTTGTCCTATTGGTATCTGTTTTGTTGAATCGGCCACATTTAAAAAAAAATCATTGTACACCAAAAAGTCCTTAAGTCTGCCAAATTTCGGTTCATGTACAGATATGGTCACACATTTAATTTCGTCCGGTTTTATATTAGGGATGTAACGAGTTATGCCCTTAATGTAATGACTTATCGTCTTCTTAATCACTTTTTTTTAAAGATCACATCATCCTGGTGGTAATTGATGTCACTATCAAGTGAGATGACACGACTATTCAATTTGTCGAACCATTATTGTGTATGCTGCGACACGCAGCTGAAAATTCGAGGTATAAAATAGCAGTCACTGCCTGACCGATCTCTTTATACGCTTCACTGCCTGTGGTACAGGGTATTATGTCTTTGTGCATATGTTTGTAACAAGCAAAATGAATCGAGTTAGACACATGGTTCCTTTTGATGATAAGAGAATCACTTTCTGAGTCGATTTACGCATGTCCGTCTGTCCGTCCGTCCATGTATATTAGTTAACAAAGTACAGATCGCTTTTATTACCCGATTTGGATGAAATTTGGCTCAGTTCACTTATTTGGCACAAGGATGAACCCTATCGAAATTGGAGAAAATCGGTACAGATTTAGATATAGCTCCCATGTGAATGATGCACCAAACTCCGAATATTTGTCCGATTGGCACAAAATTTTGCATAGAATTCTGAATCAGGCCCCGACTGATGTCTGCGAAGTTTTGTTAAAATCGGTTTAGATTTAGATATAGCTCCCATATATATATTCTTCCGATTTTTGGTGAATTATACACCAAAATACAAATATTTGTCCGATTGACAAAAAAAATTTCTGCACAGAGTACTGATTTAGGTCCAGATTGATGTCTGTGAAGTTTTGTTAAAATCGGTTCATATTTAGATATAGCTCCCAAATATAGTTTCGTCCGATTTTATGTGAATGATGCACCAAACTCCCAATATTAGTCCGATTGGGACAAAATTCTGCACAGAGTACTGAATTAGGTGCAGACTGATTTTTGCGAAGTTTTGTTGAAATCGGTTCAGAGTAAAATTGTGCATAGCGAATGCTATTGAGGAAAAAATGAGCGTGATAAGGTATGTTGTAATCGGTTCAGATTTTGATATAGGTCTCATATTCGTTCGATTTTTGTAAATGGTGCACCATTAGTATATGTTTGTTGGATTTAGACGAAATTTGGCAGAGGGTATTAAATTAAATATTGAGTGATTGCAAAAACAAATGTTGTATGCAACGGTTATGCAATTAGGTCCATGTGTTTATATATAGCTCCCTTACATAATTTGATTGGTTCAAATAAATATCTAGATAGCACATTTAATTTCGCCCGATTCCATCTCAATGGTTCTTCAAAAATTCTATGACCGTTCTATCTACAGGATATTGAGGATAATAACATGTCTTGCATGTACCCAAAGTGGTGAAGGGTATCATATAGTCGGCCCCGTCCGACTTTTGAACTTTCCTTACTGTTTTTTTTTTGGCGATGATGCGGTCAGTTTATTAATCGAACCAAACTATTTGTTAGTGATTTTTCAGATCAGTGTATAATATTATCAGCCACATATTGTTGAGGACAAAATGTGCATCATCAGCATTGTCGTCCAGAAAAAATTGAACATTGGAGCTTAAAATATATAAACAATATTTATATTTCTTACCATGGCATAACTATACAAGGTAGTCTCATGCAGTCATATGTTTCCAATTTTTTCATAAATTTGCCTTTAACAGTATTCAGGTTTCAAAATTTAAATGAAAATTGAAATTTCATTTCATTTTTTTTTTCAATTTTGTTTATGTGACCTGTCTTCTTTACGCGTTCCATTTTTTTCCTTGGGTGGATACATTTGTCTCTGGCCCCTTTAAAATCGGATTATATGTATTTCTATGTCTACAAACTCTGTACTTGTTGCTATATGTGTTCGTGTGTGTCTCCTATTGTATTCCATTTGTAATTTGATCCATTTACTATGAAAACAGAATCGAAAACAAAATTAGTGCTACAGGAAGTATAGAATTCTATGAAGTAATTATTGCCTGTCCAGAAACAATAAATTCTTTATTTTAGATCTTAGATATCGAAATCCTTTTTAGTTAGTATTTGTATATCTCTATCATTGTGTTTTGTTTTCTCTCTATCTCTCTCTCTTTCCACAAAAAAATCCGCCTCTTTCTATCTTTCTTTTTCTTCTTCTTTTATTTTTTGACTACCCCCTACAGGATCTTTGTGGCGTTATGTACGTTCATCCATGTCACTTAGCGGTTATATGCCGCCACTGTGTGATCCCAAAGATGGACATTTGCTATTGGATGGTGGCTATGTAAATAATTTACCAGGTAAATGTTTCATTTCATTTTGTTTTCTTGTTGTTATTGTTGTTCATTTTTTTCTTCTTATTATTGTTGTTATTGTTCTTGTTGGTTAATTTTTGTAATGTGAGTTCTTCACAATATCAACAAAGAAAATTTAGCTTTAAAGCAGAAAAACAACAGTGCCATTAGATAGAAATATTAAAAAACATTATTTAGTAAAAAATAAACAAAAATGCAGTAACGGAAATTTTCAAGAAATTGTATTATTTTGTTTTCCAACCTTTTTTCAAAGTTTTGTTTTTTGGTTAATGGAGTTCTATGGGGAATTCCCTAAGTATTTATTTGTGTGGATTTTCTGAAAAAATCCAATTAGAAGGATTGGAATCATAATAAGAAGAGTAAGTATATATAAGTATATTCATAAATATTTAAATTGTTTATTTTTCTTTTAGATTAATCTTAGTTTTTGTTTGATTGAAGTTTCTATTATTTTTATTTATTTTAAATTTAGTATAATAAAATGTAAAAAACTCAGAATGTGTCTCCGAAAATTAATTTATAACTTCAAATTTATTTATTAACAACTCTTCCCCTCCCCTCAATTAAAAAAATTCTTACAGCAAACCACAAAAAATAATAGTAACACTAGTTTACAAAAATATATATATATATATATTTGAAATCGGATTTTCATGAATGTTATCAGATCCTTGAGGTTGAGTGAGTGTCTATTAGATATATTTATTTATTATTATTCTACTTATAACTAACCGAAATAATTTCAATTCTAATCTCATACAGAATTTGCTGACCAATTCCTTGGTATCCGGGTAAAGGATTAAATTACATGGATTTTTTTATTATGTCACACTGAATTTTGCAAAGGAAGAAGTTAATGATTACCTCTCTCTCTCTCTCTCTCTTTATAGGTATACCTGACACAAATAACTGTGCAATGAAAGGTATCGATTAGCCTGTCATTTGACATGTCTGAATCCCAGCGAATATACATATTCCGAAAAATGTAATTTCAATCCATATTTCCCATAATTATCAGGCGTTTATGTCCTCCCAATGTTTTGTATAGTGTCTTTGTGAGGAAAACTATAGATTGGGATGTTCATAGATGAGTATCGTTTGGTCCTTGTCCACATATACCCAGCACGTGCTAGGTATTGTACCCAATACGAATGGAGACGGTTGAACCATCCTAAAACAAGTAAAAAAGTGTTAGTCGGTTATGTCGATAGATATATACCCTCAGCCTATGGTTTGCGGAGGTCTTCGGAATTACACTCAAGTTTTATTATTCGCTTTAAATTAAGTATATGCTTTCATCAACGAGGTTTCGGATTTAATGTTGATCATATCGGTTATCCAATTTGTTTCAAATTAAATTTACAAGCTTATCAAATATTGGCCCCTTGTGAGAGACGTAGCAGAAGGAGAAGAGAGTCTTTGAACATGATCTAGGCTTGGTAAGGTTATAGGTTGTGCAAAGTTTGGTTCAAATTAGATATTTAAATTCGACTGATATTGGATTTATAAATAAAATATTTTAAATCTGGCATTCCATTCGCCTGATATTGGATTTGTAAATATTGAAAATTTTAACCAATTGTGTGGGAGGTACCAGAAACCGTTGACCAATGGGTTCCATCTTCTGTCATGGTGTAGGATATTTAAAGATAATATATTGTGCAAAGTTTGGTGCAAATCGGACATTTCATTCGCCTAATATTGGATTTGTAAATATTGAACATTTTGACCATTTGTTTGGAGTCGACCAATGGGTCACATTTTCGGACCTGATGGAGGCTTGTTAAAAATGACAGCTTATACATAGTTTGGTTAAAAATAGTCGGTTCTCATGATATTACAAAATTAATTGTTTGCACAATTGTGACCATTTTGTGGTACGGAGTGGACCTATATTGCTCATCTTCGAACTTGAACTAAGTTTGGAAGAAATATTATCATGTGCAAAGTTTGGATGAAATTGATAACTCCTTTCCAGGGTTGTCGTCCGTACCAGTTGGCCAGACGGACGGACGTACATTTGTAAGTAGATTTCGAATGGTCTGAAATGTCACATTCTTTTCTTATATGCCCTCGGTAGCCATAACGCTGAGGGTGTAAAATACTCGTATTGGTTGGGGGATGGTATCCGATTATAGCATTCATTCGGTAATGTTCTGCTGCCTGGCAAAGGATTTTATTTCCGCCTCAATATTCTAAGAGCGAACAGCCCACCTTGTGTGCGTTTCTCCTGCCTGTACAACAGAAGTTATATGAATACTATTCAGACCTACTTGATATGGCTGTTGACTTAGAGGTTGGTATTTGTACTTTTCGAGGTCTCCCATAAGTTTTTGACGTGCTTGGATAGGGAAGTTTGTGTAAAAAGCTCTGAAAGGGTTGTTCATGTCGATAAAAGCTGCAAAGCTGCAAAAAAGAGCATTTATCGGGTCCGTGCTTCGTGTCCACTTGAATATGGTTCACTTGTATCATAAAGAGACACCCTTTTCTGTACTGCATTTCATTGAAAATAAATAATTTCGGAGAGGGCTAGGGGTCCTGCATCTTCTGTGTACGTAACAAGTTCTGCATACACGTTGAAGACTCGGACTATTCTTACATGCTTCACTGAGGAGCTCAATCTTCAAAATAACATTCGGTCAGCCCAAAAAGACATTTCTCAGAAGTCACAAGTTTTTTAATAATATCTTTAATGCTACCGTATTTAATTTTCTCAAAAGTGACCCTGTTCCGACACTGGATTGGTCGGATGTTTTTTTCTTTTTAATTTTTAAATCTTTTATTGCTACTGTATTTGATTTTGACAAGTCATAAGGGGATTGTTGGAAACGGAAGCAGTGGCTGAATTAAACAGAGTTGATCTCTGAGTTTCTCATCGATTTTTTACTACCAATACAAGGTTTATTTAACCTAAAACTACACAATCACGACGAGAAAAATCTACGGATAGTGGGAGATCTTATTAAAATACTTATTACATTAGGAAGGTTATAATCACAAATAAAATACAACAGTCATCACAGAGGTTGTGCAATATTTTAATGCGGGTCTGTAAGGGCTTAATAAGCAAAAGACCAAACACGAACGATAGATATCGAAAATGTCTCATTTGTAATTATTTATGTATGACTTTAAAAAAATCCGAATTTTAGGATTTCAAAAAGCAAAAAAAAAAAAAAAAAAAAAAAAAAATTACGCAGATCGTCAAATACATTCATGAAAATCTGAATTCATAATCAAATAACAAACAATATTTTTTTGTAAACTAGTGTAAAAAAACTCCCCCTCGTTCGTCACTTCACAAACAAACCGCACACTCACCGAAACAAATGTTGTACAAAATACTATTTTTTTGTTTGTTTCATTAATAAAATATTTTAATTTCTAATACCACTCCCCTATATTCCTCAATTATTCAATATATTCACCTCTTTTCCCCCACTTTATTTTGCAATATTTTTATTATGTTTAATATATTAATTTCCCACCTTTTCTTTTGTATATTGTGGTGTGCTGTGTTATATACTTCACTACTTTTTATTTTAACTTTCTTCTTATTCTTCTTCTTCTAATGTATTGTCATTGTGTTGTTGTGTCCTTCTATAAATTTAAATTTCCTTCTTTTTATTTAATTTTTTTTTCGCAAAAATTTCAACATACACAAATTAAAAATGAAAATATAAAATGAAATCACACACACATACACATATATAGGTCACTTGTGGCGTTATGTACGCGCCAGCATGTCCATTGCTGGTGTTTTCCCACCGTTTTGTGACTATAAAGATGGCCACCTATTACTCGATGGTTGTTATACAAATAATGTTCCAGGTAAACACAGTAATGTTTGTTAATTGTTTTAAATTTTAATTTAAATGTTTGTCCATTAATTGGTTATTAAAAAATCAAAAAACAAATAAAAATTAATTAATTTATTTTATATTTATACATTTTATGTAATTTCTTTTTTTGTGAATTTCCGCTGCACTGCATTTTTGTTTAAAAAATATATTTCAAAAATATTCTAGATAATTAGAAAATTTCGTAAGTTAGTTTTAAGTTTAAAAAAATATTTTATATTTATTTAATATATATTAATTTATAATAAATTAAAAATTATTTTTAAAATTTTTAACATTGTTAAATAAATATTATTTAATAATTTGCAACATTTCGAAATATTCAGCAGAGACCCCATAAAGTATATATGAATGTTCTTATGTATGTACGTCTATCTGTTCTAAATCGACAAATTCACGACTTTTTTAAGAATTCGACATGACCCCGGTCACTTTATGCCACATTTTAACCCTTTCAGATCCAGCGTAATCAATTGTGAGATCTGACAATTCGTAAAATAAGGTAGTATAAACATGTGTATTGGTCCATTAATTAATTTTTATACCCTTCACCACACTGTGGTACAGGATATTATGTCTTTGTGCATATGTTTGTAACAGGCAAAAGAAATCGAGATAGACCCATGGTTCCTTTTGAGAATATGCATAGAATCACTTTCTGAGTCGATTTACGCATGTCCGTCCATGTATTTTTGTGAACAAAGTACAGGTCGCATTTATGATCCGATTTGGATGAAATTTGGCACATCTAACTTAATTGGCCCAAAGACGAACCCTATTGAAATTGGAGAAAGTCGGTTTAGATTTAAATATAGCTCCCATATATAGTTTTGTCCGATTTTATGTAAATGATGTACCAAATTCCCAATATTTGTCCGATTGGGACCACATTTGACACATCGCACTGCATCAGGTTCATACTTATGTATAGTTTCGTCCGATTTTATGTGAATGATGCTCAAAACTCCCAATATTTGTCCGATTGAGACAACATTTTGCACATAGTACTGAATTAGGTCTACACTGATGTATGTGAAGTTTTGTTAAAATCGGTTCAGATTTAGATATAGCTCCCATATGTAGTTTTTTTGTGAATGATACACTAAACTTCCAATATTTGTCCGATTGAGCGAAATTTTGCATAGCGAATGCAATTGAAGGAAAAATTATGTATGATATAGGTCTTGTATATATTTTCGTTCGATTTTATGTAAATGGTGAACCGAATGGCCGATTCCATCTCAATGGTCCTCCAAAGATCCATATCTGCCCTATCTACATGATATTGTGGGTATTAACATCTCTCGTATGTACCCAAGTGGTGAAGGGTATCATATAGTCGGCCACGTCCGACTTTTTAACTTTCCTTACTAGTTTATTAATTATTTTTATTCCTTTAGAACAGACAAATTATCACTGTCTTTGGATCTGAAAGGGTTAAATACCAATTGGAGTGATGCATATTCGCTTAGCATAAAAACATTCTCTTATAAGGACTCCTATTGTGTGTCTAAGGAGGATTTATAGAATCCTCCATATATTCTCCTTAAAATAGGAGCCTACACAATTCTACAATAGAAATACTTTTAGACTCTTTAAGGCGAATCTGTTAATTCGGTTTTCTAGACTATAAGTATTAAAATTCCTTAAACATTTTAAAACACTTACTTAGCTGGCTTGTGGCAGAACATTTGTTCCATAAGCCGAGCCTCTCATCCAGAGGTATATAACATCATTATAGTGCCATTTCTATTCACATTTGCATGTCGCATGACCTTTTCCTGTAGGATGTTAAACAGGTCACACGAACTGTCATCTTGTCTGAATCCTCGTTCGGTATTGAAGGGCTCCGAGAAGTCCTTTCCGACTTTAACTGCTGACATTGTACCAGTTAAAGTTATCCTGCATATCCGTATTAATTTTGCAGGAATACCAAACACAGGCATGGCTTTAAACACCTCTGAACGGATAGGGCTGTCGAATGCGGCTTTATACTCGACGAATCGGTGAAATGTGTCGATGTGTTTTTCGTGGTTTTTTTTTTCAGGTTTTAGTGCATTGTAAATATCTGGTCTATGGTGGATTTACCAGGTCTGAAGCCGCATTGGTATGTTCCAACAAGGTCATTGACCATTGACTTAAATTTTTTCAACAGCACGCTGGATAGGACTTTATATGCGATGGTTAGGAGACTTATTCCTCTATATTTGGCACATATCGTCTTGTCTCCTTTTTTGTGCACGGGAAGCATGATGCTGAGGTTCCAACCATTGGACATGTATACCTCAAGCCAAATTGTACAAATGAGCTGGTGTATACTCCTGACCAGCATCTGACCACCGGTCTTGAATAGTTCGACTGGTAATCCATTGGCAACTGCTGCTTTATTGTTCTTCAGTCGATTAATTGCTATTCTGACCTCATCTTGGCTAGGTGGTATACACTATATACCGTCATCTCTTATTGGTTGTGGGGTATCTTCTTCACCGCTACTATTTGATACCAGAAGCTTTGAAAAATGTCAGGACAAATTGTTTAAGGGAAAAGAAGGAAAAAAAGGCTCCTTTTTTCCTCCTTTTTCCTTAAAAATTTGTCTGTATCTGTCACCAGGTTTCCTTCTTCATCTCTACAGGAGGATGTGCCTGCATCAAAGCCTTCGGTTTGGTGTTTTACTCGTTGTTAAACTTTTCGGACTTCATTCTGACTCTTGTACATCTAGATTTGCTCACGCTCACGTTTGTCTTGTTCTTTCTTCTTTTTTCTAAAAATACGTTTCTCCCCAGAAATTCTCCCTAGCATTTCGTGCTGCTACTGTCTGTAGGGATGCCCTGTACGCTGCGCTTTTCGTCCCAGTAGCATTTCTTGATGATTTTTGGTACCCAAGTGTTGCTTTTGCTGCAGTTTGTGAATTTTTCCGACCAAGGGGCCAAAAATATTTTTCCCTCCGATTTTTGCATTAAAATCTCCTAGCAGAATTTTAATGTCATGTACAGGGCAGCTGTAATATGCTGTTTCAAGGCGCTCGTAAAATATGTCATTGGTCTGTTCATCTTTGTTTTTGGTCGGAGCATGGGCGCAAATGTGACTGGTGTAGAAGAACTTCGCTTATATACCGATTATAGCAATTCGCGCACATGAGTGAATCTGGATACCAGATCTTTTATTCTCCAATTAGCCGTAAATCCTCTGCCAAATTCACGTCTAGTTCCATGGCAGCTATAATACAGGGCGTAATAGTCTGATTTACTTACGACTTTCCCGCATCGGATTTCCTGTAAGGCAATAATATCGGTTTTGTACTTTTTGAGTACATACGTCAAAGCGGTTCAGTATAACGTGCGCACATTCCAAGTGCAGATTCACCGATCATGGTCCTTTATACGTTTGCGAGGATCGACAACATTGGGGAGGTTTGCTTTTCGTTCCTTTTTCATAGTATTGGCTTTTTTCAAGCCACTAACCCGAAGCCTCAACCCATTTTTTCTTATGGTTGAACTCGCGGCACATATCAGCTCACTATTCCAACGGATGATGAAAGTTGCTACCCCAGGTGACACCAATCAGAGCCGTTGCTTGGTATCTATCCTCCCACCCAAAACTACCTAAGTATCCGAGTAATTAATTTTCTATTAAACTTCTAGTATTTTTTAAGATATATTTGTATTTTATAGGTTAGAGCACAGAATTTAAATTTTATTTAAAAAAATAATTGAAAATAAATTGAATTCGATGTATAACTTTTGATTGTAATAATCTTTATTTTTTAAGATCGTAAGATCGTGGAATCAGCTCCCTTTGAGCCTTCGTAAGTTTACCTCTTCCACTTTTGCGTATAGGAGGGAATTGTTTGGGCATTTGTCTCGTATTTGATGAAGTTGGCTTTGAAGAAATCGCTGATTACAGGTTGCATAATGTTACTTTGTTTTTTTTTTTAATTTTTGGCTGGGGAGCCATTTTTATTTAATTTCGTTAACATTTATGTTATAGATTTATACATATGGAATTTAATGTCTGTGGTTCTGATATTGCTCTTGGGCTCGAGAGGAATATATAGTATATTTATATGTATGATTCCTTAAGCTTCCTTTCCCCTTCACTTTTCTTAGCAACAGTTAAGTAGAGTGCAGTGGATTGGGGTTCTTGTTTGGAATCTGTTATGTTAGGGGTTTGCATTAAATTTCATTATGTAGAATTCTTTTTTTACTGTTATGTATTTTTAATTTATTTAGTTTATTCTTTGTTTGGATTTTTATTTTTTATATATAAGTTATTGGCCATGCTGGCTTTTTTATATTACATTGTATGAAATAAATGAAATGAAATAAATGTAGTTTTAAATTTAAGTGGATTAGGTTACTGGTTCTGAGCCAAAATATAAATTTTATCAATTTATAATACAGTTATAAAATATACTTTTATTGTGCTATAAGTAATATCTATTGAATAATGTAATTTTAAAATTGTTTGATTTATTTTCCAACATAAAATATATTGCTCTCCAATAACACCACCTATTTTTTCACACATCGTAGCCGATGTAATGCGAAATTTAGGTGCTGCTCATATTATAGCCATTGATGTTGGCTCACAGGATGATACCGACTTAACAAATTATGGTGATGATTTATCCGGCTGGTGGTTGCTCTACAAGAAATGGAATCCATTCACATCGCCCGTAAAAGTACCCGATTTGCCTGATATTCAATCACGTTTGGCCTATGTATCCTGTGTTAGGCAATTGGAGGTATGTTCCCAAAAGTATTTTATTTAAACCATTTCTGGATTAACCAATTTATCCCTTCGTCTCCTTGCAGGAAGTGAAAAATTCCGATTACTGTGAATACATTCGTCCGCCCATTGACAAGTACAAGACTCTGGCGTTTGGCAGTTTCGATGAAATTCGTGATGTTGGTTATGTTTTTGGTAAAAATTATTTTGAAAATATGGCTAAGGCTGGCCGTTTGGGTCGTTTCAATCAATGGTTTAATAAAGAACCACCCAAGAAAGACAATCATGCCTCGTTGAGTGAATACACGTTCATCGATTTGGCACAAATCGTTTGCAAAATACCCGATTTGGATCATCCATTGCATACAATGGATCAACATCAACATAATTATTTCTATAGTGAAGATGAAGATTATGATGGTTATATATCGGAGCCATCCATATATAATAGGGTGAGTAAAGAGGAGGCGGCGGTATGGGGCATTATAAATTTAAAATAATTTAAAAGAAGCGTTTAAAGGGGAGTCTTATTTATGAGCTCTATTAAGAGGTATTTGTAGGGCCAGAAAAAGACACTATAAGTCCTCAATGGAAGCATATAAAGTCTCCTTTATTGGAGCTTATAAAGTCTACTTAATAAGGGCCTATAAAATCTCCTTTATATAAAGTCTCTTTTATAGGCTCCAATAACGTAGATTTTATAGGAGCCTATAAAGTCTCCTTTGTAGGAGCCTATAAAATCTACTTTATTGGAGCCTATAAATTATCTTTTATAGGAGTCTATGAAATTTTATAGGATACTATAAAGTCACTTTTATATGAGCCTATAAAGTCTCATTTATAGGAGTCTATGTATGGTCTGTTCCCGTACTGCAAGAATTTACTAGATTTTACTATTTTCATCGATATCATAAAGGAAAATTCGTTATCGTAGTAAAAAGTAGTAGATTCTTGCAGTACGGGAACAGACCAATAGTCTCCATTATAGGCCTATAAAATCACTTATAATGTCATTTTTATAGGAGCTTATAAAGTCCCCTTTATAGTAGTCTGTAAAGTCTAATTTATATCAATCTATAAAGTCTCCTTTATAGGAGCCTATAATGTCTCCTTTATAAATGTCTATAATGTATCCTTTATAAGAACCTGTGAAGTCTCCTTTACAGAAAAATGTAAAGTCTCCTTTATAGGAACCAGTAAAGGCTCCTTTATAGGAGTCCATAGAGTATCCTTTATAGGAACCTGTAATGCTTTTTTAAAAAAGCCTGTAATGTATTCTTTATAGAATGCTATAAAGTGGTATTTATAGGGGCCTGTAATATTTATAAAGGACATTAAAGTCTCCTTTTTATGGGACTATAGAGGGGTACAACAATTCTTTTTATAGGGGGTCTATAATATTTTTTATGGAAATATTTTACTTTATAACAAATAATTTCTAATCAATTCCCTTTTTTATTGTCTCTCTCTCTCTTCCAGAATCAAATCAAAATGAAACGTACTGGTACCTCATTATCCCTATCGGAAAACGAAATGGATTCTGACATTGAGGTAGATCTCAGTTTGGCCATACGACAACATCAAAATTTAAAAACTCGTAGCTCACCACAAACTCCCGTCAACTTGCCACGTTCGGCTATGTCCTTGATCGATAATATCGATGGACGACACAACAACGTTAGTATCCCGGCAACACCCGAAGATGATGTCGGCGGTGGCATAACAATGCAAATGCGTTATAAATCTTTGGATAATATGATGTCAACGAATACAAATACAACGCCAAAACAAATAAACGATATCGGCGGTGGCAATGCAGACAATGCTGACGATGATAATAATGGCAATAATGATAATGCTGCCGAGGGTAAAAAATTAAATAATAGCACCGAAGATGATGACAATACCAATAACAGCACAACAGCCAAAGCTAAGACATCATAACGCTTAGTTTTAAATTTTTAGATGTAATTGTCGATTTTTTATTTGGTTTCTTATTTGTTATGATTACAAAAACCCCACATACATATTCATGAAAAACACATACACGCTCCCACCCGCACTCCACAACGACATTTTAACTTTAAGGATACAAAAATCTTGTAAGAAAAAGAAAAAAACGAGACTGGCATGTATCACCACTTCATTTCATTATTCTTTTTCTTACCAACTGAGTTTATTTGGTCTCATTTACAAAACTAATTTTCTTTGGCTTTGAGAAAAAGTAAAAGAAAAAAGACAGTTCGAAAAGCCAAAAATAAGCAGTTTGTACTGATTTAAAAATATATATCTTTTTTTTGTATATTTTCCACTTTAATTGCCATCAAACAAAAGCGAAATTGTTGAACAATTTTCAAAAGAGTTTGCTTAACAACAACAAAAAAATCATATTTAGTTTTGTAAGTTTATCTAATGTTATTTTTCTATTATTCTATAAGAGTTCCGAATTGTTCGCCTTAGTTACTTCGTTTAGTTTATTTTCTAATTTACTACGCCAATACCCCATTTGGAGGTTCTCTTTAGTTTGTAAGCAATGTTAGAGTTTATTGTCTACTTCTCTCCTTTCTGCTTCATTTTTTCTAATTATTTTTATATACTATGTACATAAGGATTGTTATATAAAAGAATTAAAACAACAGAAAAAAACAATGCACAAGATATTAATAGTTTTTTAATAAAACTAAATAACATTGGATAACAATGAAGATAGCAAAAATGAAACTATTAGCCAACATTACAACAAAAAAAGTTCTTTCTTAAGTAGTTTAAGCTAATTATTAATTATAAAGAATTAAAAAAAATATTAAAATAAAAAATATATAAAATTAAATGGAAATTATTTTTTAAATTGTAATTATTAAAAATCATTTTAAATTCCCACAAAGTTGCGTTTAGTGACTCCTACAAATGAGTCTTTAAAGACTCCTACAAATGAGTCTTTATAGACTCCTATAAAAGAGTCTTTATGTACTCCTATAAAGAAGTCTGTATAGACTCCTATAAAGGAGTCTTTATAGAGTCTTTATAGACTCCTATAAAGGAGTATTTATGGACAGACTCCTATAAAGGAGTCTTTATAGACTCCTATAAAGGAGTCTTTATAGACTCCTATAAAGGAGTCTTTATAGACTCCTATAAAGGAGTCTTTATAGAATCCTATAGAGGAGTCTATGTAGACTCTTACAAAGGAGTCTTTATAGAATCCTATAGAGGAGTCTATGTAGACTCTTACAATGGAGTCTTTATAGAATCCTATAGGATCTTTATAGAATCCTTCTGTGGTTGTTTCTTTGAAAAAATATTCTTTAAAAAATTCACGCCTTCTGTGGTTGTTTCTTTGAAAAAATATTCTTTAAAAAATTCACGCCTTCTGTGGTTGTTTCTTTGAAAAAATATTCTTTAAAAAATTCACGCCTTCTGTGGTTGTTTCTTTGAAAAAATATTCTTTAAAAAATTCACGCCTTCTGTAGTTGTTTTTTTGAAAAAATATTCTTTAAAAAATTCACGCCTTCTGTGGTTGTTTCTTTGAAAAAATATTCTTTAAAAAATTCACGCCTTCTGTGGTTGTTTCTTTGAAAAAATATTCTTTAAAAAATTCACGCCTTCTGTGGTTGTTTCTTTGAAAAAATATTCTTTAAAAAATTCACGCCTTCTGTGGTTGTTTCTTTGAAAAAATATTCTTTAAAAAATTCACGCCTTCTGTGGTTGTTTCTTTGAAAAAATATTCTTTAAAAAATTCACGCCTTCTGTGGTTGTTTCTTTGAAAAAATATTCTTTAAAAAAACCACGCCTTCTGTAATTGTTTCTTTGAAAAAATATTCTTTAAAAAATCCACGGCTTCTGTGGTTTTTTTTTTGAAAAAATATTCTTTAAAAAATCCACGCCTTCTATGGTTGGTTGTTTGAAAAATATTCTTTAAAAAATCCACGCCTTCTATGGTTGGTTGTTTGAAAAAATATTCTTTAAAAAATCCACGCCTTCTATGGTTGGTTGTTTGAAAAAATATTCTTTAAAAAATCCACGCCTTCTGTGGTTGTTTCTTTGAAAAAATATTATTTAAAAAATCCACGCCTTCTGTGGTTGTTTCTTTGAAAAAATATTCTTTAAAAAATCCACGCCTTCTGTGGTTGTTTCTTTGAAAAAATATTCTTTAAAAAATCCACGCCTTCTGTTGTTGTTTCTTTGAAAAAATATTCTTTAAAAAATCCACGCCTTCTGTTGTTGTTTCTTTGAAAAAATATTCTTTAAAAAATCCACGCCTTCTGTTGTTGTTTCTTTGAAAATTTTTTTTTTTTAAATCCACGCCTTCTGTTGTTGTTTCTTTGAAAAAATATTTTTTAAAAAATCCACGCCTTCTGTGGTTGTTTCTTTGAAAAAATATTCTTTAAAAAATCCACTCCTTCTGTGGTCGGTTCTTTGAAAAAAATATTCATTAAAAAATCCACGCCTTCTGTGGTCGGTTCTTTGAAAAAAATATTCTTTAAAAAATACACGCCTTCTGTGGTCGGTTCTTTGAAAAAAATATTCTTTAAAAAATCCACGCCTTCTGTGGTCGGTTCTTTGAAAAAATATTCTTTAAAAAATTCACGCCTTCTGTGGTCGGTTCTTTGAAAAAAATATTCTTTAAAAAATCCACGCCTTCTGTGGTCGGTTCTTTGAAAAAATATTCTTTAAAAAATCCACGCCTTCTGTGGTCGGTTCTTTGAAAAAATATTCTTTAAAAAATCCACGCCTTCTGTGGTCGGTTCTTTGAAAAAATATTCTTAAAAAAATCCACGCCTTCTGTGGTTGTTTTTTTTTTTTTTTTGAAAAATTTTTCTTTAAAACTCCATGCTTCAACAGGTCAATAATTTGTTTATTACAAAAATCATTTTTTTTATTATTTTTTATAAATGTATGATATTTCAGGTGTAGTATTTTGTTGATTTCCCCCTCCCCCTCTATATTTGTTTGCCAGTATCGTTATAACAAAGTTTGCTAAAAAAAAAACAAAATAAACAAAATTTATTTCTAGGTTATGTTGAACCTGATTTTAAATTTTCGTATATTTTTTTTTTGTTTTTTTTTTTTTTTTTTGGTAGTCATTTCATCAGCTATTTCCTCTAGGAACAAAAACATCCTGCCGTAACAGTAACCGTTTTGAATTTCCATATTTGCCTTAGATCATCGGGAAGCCATGCCAAAGTTAAGTCCTTTTGCATATTATCCATAAGTGTACGAAATGTTAAAACTTTCACTTTATATTCCAGTGGACGACACACCGAACCGCTCCAACATTTTGCAGCCAACTCATCAGTTTGACAGACGGCATTCAGTAGATAGCGTGGGAAATGTTGTTGCCCCAAATCCACTAAATCGTTCTGTTACAACGCGGATTCAAAGAGAGAGTGGTAGAGAATATACAAAATTAGTCTTTATGTGGTCCTTGAAAAATATTCTTCAAAAATTAAAGTCTTTATCTGGTCCTTAAAAAAATTCTTGAAAAATCTGCTTCCATATCTAGTCCAAAATTTTTTTTTTTAATTCTCATCTATTCCTTTAAAATATTCTTTAAAAATATGGTCCTTGAAAAAAATCAAATCCCCTAAAAACATTTTTTCCCTCTACTTACCTTAATTTTACAATCACAACCTCGAGTCGGTGGTGTACCCAGCGGAGTACCAATGGCATTGCCATTACGTTTCATATCCATTTGTTTATTCGAATCCGCAACAAGGTCATTATAGAATTCATTAAAATTAGCCACTGGTAGCGAGGATAATTTAGGTATCACCAATTCATTTGGTCGTCCTCCACCATCCAAATTTTTCTCCTCATCAAGAACTCGATTACGCCCATAAGATTTAAATGGCGGAAACTCTTTAAAACTTGGCATATTCTCCATCAAATCTTTATCCGAATACAATTGCTCGTCATCCTCATTATCACAATTAATAAAATTCCTCTCGGGCTTTAGAAAATCCAACCATTGAGTGTCTTGGCAATTTGAGGTCTTGCGTGGATATTGAGTTCGCGGCTTATCCTGAAGGTCTCCTTGGAATTTTGGTATAAAATCCAAAAAATCATTTGCGTTATTCAAGCTGCTGGGTGGTGGTGGTGGTTTAAATGGTTGTCTAGGGTCATCATCGCCATAATGTCCCATACTGGAATCCGAGGAACCCGAATGTGCTGATATGCTTCTCATTAAATTCGTATCCATTAAACGATTGCCACAGATAACACTAAATAACACGGTAGCCAATACTAAAGTGGTCTGTTGGGAACACAGGAGGAAAAACCAAAATTCACTTAATTTATTTTTTTAATAATTTCTTAGCACTTTTTTCTCACCCAAGGCATCGTTTTGCCGATTCGTTAGCAATACTTTTGGTCACACTTTAGTAGAAGGACTATTTGAATCTTAACTTGCGGCTAAGCTTTTATAGCCAATTTCACACGACATGGCCACTAAGAGCTCTATTGTTTTCAATCGAGGAGTGTGTTTTTATGCGAAACGTATCGAATTTCCTTTTGTTTCTGTTTGGAGTCTGTATAATGAAAGATGCTTGCATCAATCCTTTAATGATGCTATTTAATGGGTTAATATGATGACGTCACCTCCTGTCACCTGGTTGTTATAGCAATTATGAATGAAAGTAAATTTGCCAATGGTATTGAAATCAAAAAGGGGATGCTGACGGCTATTAAAGAATATTTTTTCAAACTACCAATCACAGAAGGCGTGGATTTTTTTTAAAGAATATTTTTTACAAACTACCAATCACAGAAGGCGTGGATTTTTTTAAAGAATATTTTTTCAAACAACCAACCATAGAAGGCGTGGATTTTTTAATGAATATTTTTTTCAAAGAACCAACCACAGAAGGCGTGGATTTTTTAAAGATTATTTTTTTCAAAGAACCAACCACAGAAGGCGTGGATTTTTTAAAGAATATTTTTTCAAACAACCAACCATAGAAGGCGTGGATTTTTTAAAGAATATTTTTTTCAAAGAACCGACCAAAGAAGGCGTGAATTTTTTAAAGAATATTTTTTTCAAAGAACCAACCACAGAAGGCGTGGATTTTATAAAGAATATTTTTTTCAAAGAACCAACCACAGAAGGCGTGAATTTTTTTAAGAATATTTTTCAAAGAACCAACCACAGAAGGCGTGGATTTTTTTAAGAATATTTTTTCAAAGAAACAACCACAGAAGGCGTGGATTTTTTAAAGAATATTTTTCAAAGAACCAACCACAGAAGGCGTGGATTTTTTAAAGAATATTTTTTCAAACATCCATCCACACAAGGCGTGGATTTTTTAAAGAATATTTTTTCAAGGATCCTTCATCCACACAAGGTGTGGATTTTTTAAAGAATATTTTTATCAAAGAACCAACCATAGAAGGTGTGGATTTTTTAAATAATATTTTTTCAAACTACCAACCACAGAAGGCGTGGATTTTTTAAAGAATATTTTTATCAAAGAACCAACCATAGAAGGTGTGGATTTTTTAAAGAATATTTTTTTTTCAAAGAACTAACCACAGAAGGCGTGGATTTTTTAAAGAATATTTTTATCAAAGAACCAACCACAGAAGGCGTGGATTTTTTAAAGAATATTTTTTCAAACAACCAACCATAGAAGGCGTGGATTTTTTAAAGAATATTTTTTCAAACAACCAACCATAGAAGGCGTGGATTTTTTAAAGAATATTTTTTCAAACAACCAACCATAGAAGGCGTGGATTTTTTAAAGAATATTTTTTCAAACAACCAACCATAGAAGGCGTGGATTTTTTAAAGATTTTTTTCAAAGAACTAACCACAGAAGGCGTGGATTTTTTAAAGATTTTTTTTCAAAGAACTAACCACAGAAGGCGTGGATTTTTTAAAGATTTTTTTTCAAAGAACTAACCACAGAAGGCGTGGATTTTTTAAAGATTTTTTTTCAAAGAACTAACCACAGAAGGCGTGGATTTTTTAAATACATATTTGTTTTAATTATTTCTATAACTGTGGTTTTTAATAAATATTAGTTTGCCAATTTATCGCTGACCCTTGTGGTCATCGTTTGATTTGAAAGACATGTGACCCAGTTTCGAACTGAAATAATCAATTGAAAGGAAGTAGGTTTCCTTTGCCGGATATACAAATGTGCAGTCTAGCTATCAGTCTCATCATGTCTATCCTGCAGCTAAGTATTCCAGTCATTTTGTTGCTCTCTATACAAAACACCAATGCAAGTGCCTATTGTCGGGAAACATTGCAGGATCAATTATTGCAACAAATAAAATGGTCATATCTAAGGCAGTGTCTGTTGGAGGTCAGTGGCGAAGAGAAATCGGCAAAAATGAATGAAAATATTTGGCGGCTAATGAAGTTGGTGAGTAGAATCTTAAAAATATTTCCCTTAATAATTTGAACTAAATTTTTCCCTATAGAGTTTTGAATCCTCAATTGAAAATATACCCTACGAAGCCTATAGGCTAATGGGTTATTCCCTTACCGCCATACCCTTGGAAGATTTTCGTAATATTAGCATGGAAAATGTGGATATGATTGAAATATTTGGTTTGATAACAAATAATATGGCCCTGAATGGCCATCAACAAGGATTCAGTGAGGAACAATTATCGCTATTGGCTCAAAAGGTGCGCAACGAATGGTTGGGTAAATCACCAGAAACCTATTCGGAATATGATTTAAGGGTAATGGGTGAAATCGTATGCCACTTCAATGTCACAGATATTGAGCAAATACACACCGATGCATTTATGTGAGTGTGGGGAAAATTATATATCCTCCATATATATATATATATATATATATATATATATATAAGTAATAGCGATTTTGATATAGGGAAGCCATTGAGTGGATTGGTTTAATAGAAAAATGCCCAGAGGATCGCCTACAGGCATTTGCTAATTTTGCGCGACGACCCGATGCCTTTGGTGAGCCAAATACATGGTCCAAATTGGAGGTAAGTGGAAAAGGAAACTTTTGAAGAGAGCAACTCTCGCCCTCTCTCTCCTTCTATACTCTCTTACAGGTCACCATAATTGGTAATATATTAAATGGCTTGCCGACCACTGAAATCTCTAAAATCTCCAAGGATAAATTACAATTGAATCATTTATATAAAGTCAACAGTGGAATACAGCAACAACAACAACAGCAGCAGACGGGAAATACAACAAATCACAATTCCACCACAGACAAGGCTTTGGAAGAGCATGAAGCCTTGCCAGGGGGAAATAATAAAAATTAAAAAAATTGGAAAAAATAATAGACCTATTCGAGTGTAAAATTAAAGAATACTACAATACTTGATATATTTTCAATATATTTATTTTTTAAATATTTCTTTTATTTAATATTATTTTTAGTGCAAATTTTGGTTTTTTTAATTACAATATTTTTTTTTAAATTAATTTAAAATTAAACTAAACTAATTTTTTTATTATATATTATTAAAGAAATCGAGATTATATTACAAAATTGTTCTATTAGCTGGGGAGAAAATTTAAATATAAGAGAAGGGAAGGAAGATAGAAAAGCATAACGTTCGAGAATAATCAAACACAACCTTTACATAGATATGAGGACAAATAACTTTATTGGAGATTTCTAATTTTTTGGGACTGATGGATTTTCTATAGAAACTTTTGTCAGGACCCTCCTTTTGCGGGTCTGGTGGATTTTATATAGAACATTTTTCCATGATCCCTTTGTGGGGGACTGGGGGAAACTTTAGGAATTCCCTCCAACCCTTCAAATAATTCTGAGACACTTGGGTCGATAGTTTTTTTTCTATAGAAAAAATTCTGAGACCCTTGGGTCGACAGTTTTTTTCTGTAAAAAAAATTCTGAGACCCATGGGTCGATAGTTTTTTTCTATAAAAAAAATTCTGAGACCCTTGGGTCGATAGTTTTTTTCTATAGAAAAAAATCTGAGACCCTTGGGTCGATAGTTTTTTTCTATAGAAATTGTTTCAGAAATTGTTTCTGTAGAAAAAAGACATAGACCCAAAATCGCCGTCGACACAAGGGTCTCGATATTTTTTCTTTAGAAAAGATCACCATCGACCCAAAGGTTTCAAAATGTTTTCTATAGAAAAAATCACCATAGACCCAAGGTTCTGAGACCCTTCTATTGTCTCTGATATACTGCAAATATTTCCTAGGTTTATTTTAGGTCCACCGAGAAGTCCTGATCATTGGTATTCCGTTCAATATTTATCATCCACCAAATCATTGATACCATCCACACTGATATTAAGCGACAAGGGTTTATCCAGCACCAAACGGGGAGGTGATTTCGAATCCACCATGGAGGTTAGACCAAATCCGGGCAGATCTAAATTCAGCGAATGCAAATGTTGCTGCAAGGAATCACCAACATTGAGATGAGAATTCACCGGCAATTGCATGGGATTGCTGATGATATGACCTTGAGATAAAATATATGGATCCTGATCGGGTGAAGATGCCTCCAAATTGAATAGAGATATACCAGAGCTATGGGGATTATGGAGATTTTCATTTAAGTTCTGTTGATCCTGAAGCGAATGCTGCTGCTGAGCATGATGATGATGGTGCTGTTGCTGCTGAGGATTATAGTGCGATAAATTTAAATGGTGAGTATGAGGAGATTTATCCTCCACATCGGTGGCTTCATCACCCAGTGAAAGGGTCTGATCCATATTTAAAATACATTCCGCTTTTAGCTGTTCGATGGTGTATTGATCGACATTAAGGAATTTCATTTCATCATAGGTTGAGGTGGAGGTGGCATTATCAACCAAATCCAAGGAGGTATTGAAGCAGTTGACTGTAATTAGACTGTTCGGAACGTGATCCTCGGCGTTGTGACTCAACTCGTGTTGGTGGTGTTGGTGAAGATGCAGATTTTGTTGGTGTTGTTGCTGGTGGTGAGGATGATGCTGCTGATGTTGTTGTTGCTCATGATGACTATTGCTGTGCGATAAATGAAGATTTTGTTGTTGTTGAGAGCCTTCCTGGTGTGGGTCCGGCAAATCCAAAGAGGCCGATTTCAGTAACGAAGCCGTTGAAGAGGTAGGTAAATTGTTGTTGTTGTTCTCATACGTCAGCTGAGGTGATGCTGGTGATTTATTCGTCGATGTCGATGGTATGTCCTGTAAGCTATTGCCTGTTATGGCGTTGGGAGGATAAGTAGACCATTCCATGGATAAGCTGCCACCTCGTTCCAGACCCATATGATCGATATTTAGATTGAGAAAAATATTTGGTGACATACGTGAGGGTGTGGTGAGACCACCATCACAGCCCAAGCCCGAAGAGCCACCACCGCTGCCATCACTGCCAAAGGGTGTTTTGCCTTCATTGTCCAGGGAGTTGGAGGATTGAGGAGGGGTATCGGGTAGTAAAGTGGAACCTATTCCAAAAATTGAAAAAAATATTAAAAAACAGTAATTTTTAAAATTATCTTCTACCTACCCAACGGCTGATCCAGGGGCACCAAAACATTATCCTCATACGGCTGACCCTGCGAATTAAGCTCTTCACCATCCTTCAGATCTACCTTTTCCTGTTTACGCCACTTGGCTCGACGATTTTGAAACCATACCTGGACCCGGGCCTCGGTTAAATCAATGCGCACGGCTAACTCTTCACGAAAGAAGACATCGGGATAATGGGTACGTTGAAAAGCTCTTTCCAATTCTTGTAGTTGTACTGTATTGAATGTGGTTCTGGAATGCAGGGCAAAGAACAACAAAAATAAAAAATAAGAAACCAAAGCGAAAAAAGCAACAACAACAAAAACATAAGTGACACATTATTAAGGTGTAGTAGCAGTTCATTGTTATTGTTGTTATTTTTTGCTATCGTCATGTCTGCAACATTGTTTTGTTGGTGTCTTTTTGGCTGGAGAAGCGAAAAACAATAACAACACACCTCATCCATCCACCCCCTCATTGGAAACAACGATATTCACCCACACATCACATCACAGCAAAAAAGAATTTGCCCGACAATATCCGGTAACAAGTCGTCTATAGTCTTCGCACACCTACACACCTACACACACTCATACATGTGTATCTATGTCGGTAATCTTCACACATGTATATATGGTAATGTATTGTATTGTTTACCTATATTATATACCACCTCTTGCCTATGTACATGGATTTGTATACATATGTACGGTAAATACCTGTCACTATGTGTGATGCAATTGGGCTTTTGCCTGCCACTCATTCATTTATCGGCTTCTTTCTTTAGTTTTACATAAGTATCGAAAAATAGACAAAATACGCACATTCATACATATTAAATAGGTATTTATAAAAAATATGTAAATGAAAGTTATTTACATCTTATATATATATAGGAAAACTAACCTTAAAAAGTTTATACAGAATTTTTGTCAAAAAAAATCATTTAGAGCCCTTGGAATTTGGGAATTTTTATATAGCATTTTTCAGGACCTTCGGACAAGGAATTTATCTATAGAAAAATATTCAGTTCTATTAGGACCTGAGTTTTTAATAAATAAAAACATATGGAGACTTAGGATTTTTATAGAAACGATTTGCAGGAAAATAAGTCCTCATTCTCCCAATATTTCAAATTTTTGAGGAATTGTGTCTAATTACAGTTTTGAATTAGAGTAACTTCGGGTAATGTGGACCAGGCGTCTAATGTGGACCACCCCCCGCCTTGATAAATGTTTTCCTAATTAGCGAAAACAAACATCAAGCTTGGTTTTTAATAAATAATTGGAAAGTTGAAAATTTAGTAGTAGAAAATGTAGCCCTGATTGTAAAAGTGTGATTTGAAAATTTTTTAGCACAATAGTCGAACGTTTTTGCAAAATAGTCGAACACTTGTTTTTTCTCGAATATAAAGAAGTTATGTGGTTTTCTTCTTTTCTTTAACAAAAATATACGTTTAGCAGTAATTATAATCGGCGATTTTTAATTTTTATTCATTTTTTGAAGCCGATAATTATTTTTAAATAAAAATATGCAATGTCGGGTAATGTGGACCACTATAAAAATTGAGACCTTTTTATGAGCAGGAGTTCGAAATATGGGCGTATTTAATATGCGAGGAGGTATTCTATCCTCTGAAAACTCGATATGCGAAATTACAGGTGCTTCGGTTGGATAATGAAGCAAGGACCTCAAAAATACCGGAAATGGGGCGGTACCCTTAAATGGGGGCTATTCCAAAACATAAACCCATATATTTTTGCATTCATTATTACCCAAGAGTGCAATAAATTGAAATTTATCACAACCAATCCACAACCTACCTTTAACTTACTGATCCTCATTACCCACATATAGTGGTCCACATTACCCGCCAAGTTATCTTTATTCGCAGTTCAGAGTTTTTTGAAATATAATGCAATAAGATTATTGTAGACAAATATAAATATTATTTGACCTGGAATATATTTAGCCAACAAATCTACTATATTGTGAAAACAATTTGTTTTTATTTTTTACCGTTGTTACGCCCACAATATCAAAAAAAGAAAATGGTGGTCCACATTACACGAAGTTACTCTAAATAACTTGTAAAAACTTCGTTAATTCCGACATGGACGAAATTGTGGTATTTTTGTGGTATTTTTGGCCAATGTGGTATTTTGGTTGAAAGCCAAAATACCCCAGATTTGCGAAGTTCGGTTATATTTGCGTTTAGGGTAGGCTCATGTAACTGTACTTCCCAAATGGGACCCCTAATGAGAATCCATCATATAATATTACTACATTTTGATTTAAAAATATGCCCAATAGGGTATTGGCTACCAAAAAATAACCAAAAATACGAAATTATAGCCAGGGATGAGGGTGTCACCCCCCAAACTTGACCCAATATTTAAAAGGTTGAACAAATTCCGGCTTGAAGGTTTCTTATATACTAGCGAAGTGTGCGCTACTTTGTATGCGGAAAGGGAACACAAAACAAATAAATAGTATTCTATTTATATGGAAATCGTGAATACTGTATGATTTTTTTTTGTACTATAATTCCGAATTCCACCACTATTCCTACATCTATTATCAAGTATATTACTATTTAGTACTCTCCATACACATTTGCACTAATTTCCGAAATCTTGTTCTTATTTCCATTATACAGATTCAAAAGTGATAAGAATTTCAATAATATATTTTAGCAAACACCTACAGGTTCCACATTTTGTTCCATTCAGCATTTTTCGAACACATAATTACATATTATCAGGACTACATCCATATTTCAATAGTACTTTTAATTTCACTAAATGTAGTACTTTTCGTACCCATAAGTATGAATTTCCCAAATTATCACAATCCCACACTCCAACAGTAATTTTTTATAACTAAAACCAGGAATTCAGTTCTATCCATTCACACAAAGTCAAATTGTACAAAAACCCTTTTGTACATCTTTCTAGCTTTACACCAGTGACCCACATACCAAATTTCAGAATTCTAGTTCTTCCCGTTCGCCTAATTCTATGGGTACCATATACCATGTTTGGTACATTTTAGTACTTTTCGTACCCTTCTAGTTCACAAAATTTCAAGTTTCTAGCTTTAGCTGTTTCGTCTGGGCGATGATCTGTCAGTCACTTAACACGAAGCTCTTTTATGGGGTCCCCCTCATTCTCGGTGTCAAAAAAATTTATTTAGTTTTTCGAATCTACACTAATTCAAGAATGTCCCTACAAAATTTCAAGTGAAAATCTGAAGATCTCTTGAAGATATAATCGATTGAATGTATCAGCATCAAGTGACGACAAAAGTGATTCTCAAACTTTAAACGCATTTTTCCTGAAGCAGTGTTTTACGAATGGCGGCCACGATAACTCAAAAACTAATAATCCAATCAGTTTCAAATGTTGACACATTTCTCTGGGAGTGTATAGCTATCGTATGGACTAGGATAAAGTCAATCGATGAAGAACTTCCTTATTTGTTAACTTTGTGTGTGGTCAAAAATAGGTGATTTTCCAAAAAAAAAAAAAAAAAAAAAAAAAAATCAATGTTCGGCCATTTTGTTAATTGTTGTGCGAAGTCAATAATCCTAGTTCATACGAGAGCCAGGCCGCGAAAAGGTAAACCAAAGTCGAAGAATTTAAAAGTTCAAAATATTCACACAATTCGCAGAGTTTTTCCATTATTAGTAGCTATGTCTAAAGTCATGTATATTTGAAGTCACATGAGTGACCGCTTTTTTGTGGCCTTTGTCTTAAAAGTTAAAAACTAGAGGCTCTCAATTTTTTTACCACTGATAGTACTCCTAAAATTCTACAAAAAATTATTAAGGGAGAATTGTAAAAAATGTAATTGTTTTCGATTTATTTAAGATTTAAAATTTGATTTTGCCTCTGAAAGTCGTGTAAGTGACTGCGGAAGTGCCCATATGTGAAGTTACAAACTTTAACAGGTATTCATTTACCAACACAATGAAAATCTTGAACATGTAAAATCGAGAAAGGGGAGGCCCCTTGTATATTAATACATTGTCAGTATTTTAAAAATTGTTGCTTATTTTCCCCATTGGACATTAAAGAAATCTGTGGGGAAAATTGTATATGTGGATCCATAAAAGTTCTACCCCTTTTTCAGTATTCGGTACTACCGCTTAACGCAATTATATAGTCCCCATATAAATGTCCCGATTAACTTATGAACTTGTTAATGCGCTTCACGTTCGACCCGGCCGAACTTAATAAACTGTTTACTTTCGAAAAATATATGGGAGCTTCTTGGCATAGCTACAAATATTCTTTATTTTGGGCACATTTTATATTTTGGACCATTGCATAGAATATCTCCCTACCAAAAAATAATAAATATTTGCCCAATTTTCGGAGTAACGGTACAACCTATTTTTCGGTATTTCTTTGGGAATCAGGGAAAGTTTTCCAGCAATTTGCCTTATAATATACCCTACACAACAATGTTGGCAGGGTATTACAGCTTTGTGCAGCCCCAAGAATTTGTAACGCCGTGAAATATTGATCCTAGACCCACCTTTAAGTATACCGATCGTCATATCTCGACTAGCTGAGACGATTTAGATATGTGTGTCCGTCCGTCTGTTCATTATAATTTGTAAATACGATACAGCCCACAGTTATCGACCAAACTTCACGAAATTTTGCATGTAGGATGGGTTCTGGCCAATGTAGACAAACAACTTTATTTTTGTCTGATTTTCTGGTCGTTCTAGAGACATTAATTATGTCCCGAACACCGCGAAATTTTACATGGAGAAGGGCCAAAGAATAAGCATGCCTATTTTGATAAAGCTGGTCAAATGAACCCTGACTTTTGAGTGAAAGATTACAAAATTTGTATTCTATGGCGTATATATTTACACCTGATGGACATAGACCCGAAAAGTTGATGGTATATACAAGAGAAGTGGTTGACCTTTAAATTGATACTAATTATATTGTCGTATATACTCGGGTGTGGGAGTTAAACTTAAATATTAACAGGTGCTTACGTACTGAGATATTATTTAGTAACCCATTACCACACTAGAGGGCGGAAATATAAAGTGATCGCATTGAAATATTCCATGAGAATCCAGTTATGGTCAAGGACAACGCCTATAATTTTTGGATAATAATTTTGGGATGAAGTGACCGGAAACTTATTTTTTGTGTTTTTTTTCGAGTCGTTCTATAGGCCACAATTATAAGCGGAACATCACAAGACCACCTGCGGTGAAGGGAATCTGGACAAGTAATTAGAAGGGCTGTACTGAATATTAGTATTATTCGGAAAATATGTCAGTGTATGAAAGATGTGCTGTTGACCTCTGATTGGTCAATAGGGAGCAAATATCGCGAAATATTGCCCAAGCTCAGAATATAGAACCACAGAAATTTAGATTTTCGTGGAAGTTGTGTAGGGTATAATATGGTCGGCCCCATCCGACTATACTGCTCCGCTCACTGGTTTTATATATTTAATATCTTACCAAATGTTGCTACCCCAAATTAATTATATTGGTCCACTATTTAAGGTATTTTGATATATTTTTCCAGTCGATAAATTTTTTAGCCGAATATACTGTAATATGATATTGATCCCCGATGCTGTGAAAGATTTTATGTCCCGATCAATTTTATATATTTTAATTGTCCACCTCTTAGTGGAGGATATCAAAAGTTCGAGGCCTATCCGTTCACCAAGTATTGTCTGGGTCCAAACGAAAATTCAAATGTTATTTAAAAGCCATAGGTCGTGGGTTAGGATATATGTAGATATGTCGGTTAAATTGTGTATATAAAAAGTGACCATTTACCTGTAACGTCTCTGCTTCCTTTTCATAGTTGTGCCTTTTTCCATTCAAAAATAAAATTGTCGAATAATAAAACTAACTAATTTTTTTCCTATATATGTAAGTATTTATGTAAAAATTTAAAACTAAAAAACCCGATATTCTAGACGGTACTTTTTACATTTACATACATGTATATTATGTACATATAGATTTTAAATTTATTTACAAAAAAAATAGATATTTTATTTAAATCGTTGTGGAAGTTGCGACTTGTAGCTTCATTTCTAAGCAGTGTTTTGATTTTTTTTTCGAATTGAATATTATTTTTTCAATTTAAGTTTAAAAGGCAAACATTTTTTCGAGACTACATTACTAAGGTTTCTTTTGTATCGTTGGTACGGTCGGTCGGTAGGTAGGTTCACACTAAGGATTTTCGATTCACCACTAAGAGAGGGCAGAGAGCAAAGATATTATTAAAAATAGATTTTTTCTATGGCACGTAAGGAATTTTCGCGTTATAAGATTTTGAATATTGAAATTATTATTTTTTATTTTAATTTTATTTTCTAGCAAAAATCATTTTCCATTTTTTTAGAATTGTTATGCTAAGCAATTCACTTTTTTTCTTCAAATTTCTTTGGATTTGAATTGTATTTTTCTGTTTTTGTAAAAGTTTTTCTATTGCTCTGTCCACAGCACCGACTAGACTAAATTAGGGAATTGTTTAGTTTCTTTAGAACCCCAGAACGCAGTGTTCAGTGTTTGACTAGTTTTTCTAATTTTTCCCATCTATTTTTTCTGTGTTTTTACCGTTTGGCATTAGAGAAGCCTTAGGAATTAGTTTTTCACCATTCTATGGATTTGGTATTTTGTTTTTATATTTTTTTACCATTTTCCATTTCATTTCGATTTTGTCCAAGTGCGGTGTCGTGCTCTGCCGTTAGTCGACCACTTTTCGTCATTTAAATTTTTCTACCTACCATCGGGCTTACTACTATGTATTGTCGTAAAACGCTGTCCCACTATGTCGTAGGGTATTATAATGTTTGTCATCTTATCTACCCTCCCACCCTCACCCATGTGAGAAGCAAAACAAAATCCAACCCCTGTACCTGTGGGTGGTGGGAAAAAATTTAAATATTTTTTTTAAAGGTATTAATAACAAATTATGATTTCACTTTTGGGGGAAAATATTATTTTTTTTTCTTAAAAGCGAAAACTGTTTTCGAAAATTTTGAGAAGTTTTGTTCGGCTTCGTGGATTTTTTAAAGACCAACAGAAGGCGTGGATTTTTTAAAGACCAACAGAAGGCGTGGATTTTTTAAAGACCAACAGAAGGCGTGGATATTTTAAAGACCAGCAGAAGGCGTGGATTTTTTATAGACCAACAGAAGGCGTGGATTTTTTATAGACCAACAGAAGGCGTGGGTTTTTTAAAGGACCAACAGAAGGCGTGGATTTTTTTAAAGACCAACAGAGGGCGTGGATTTTTTTAAAGACCAACAGAAGGCGTGGATTTTTTAAAAACCAACAGAAGGCGTGGATTTTTAAAAACCAACAGAAGGCGTGGATTTTTTAAAAATATTTTATTGATATTATTATAGTTTAAATCGATTTTTCCTCCGTTGCTTAGAACATTTTCAAAAATGCATTCAATTTACAATCATATGTCTCAGTGAAATCCGTCAAATGGCCAACGGCAAAATCAATATGATGATCGCTGCTGGGATACCATTCACAATAGTAATGGATGGCATTGAGGAAGAACATTTGTTTGATTTCTTTCAGGGAACTTAAACTGAACATTGTCTGATAACGGCTAATATCGTCGGCTTGCAGGGAGGAGAAGAAGATTTCAAAGGCCGCATGTAGACCCACAACACCAGCCAATTTGTGGACACCCTCTCTATCCATTACTTGCACCGTAGTGAAACCTTCAAAAATACCAATACCCATTAGGGTACCCAAAGAACTCTGCTTGAATATATCCTCATAACCGACATGATATACGGGTGTACGCAGAAGACTCAATGGTATAATCAGCAAATTCATCGAGGGATAATATTCGGGGTGTATATCGGTATCATATTTATGCATGGGCGATTTGAAGAAGAATTCCTTGTTCGCAGCCAAATTATCGCCATAGTGGCCATAGTCGAAGTAGCTGTGTTGCAATTGGAAATAGAATTTCAGTAGAGACAAATAATTGCCGTAGTAGTTGTTGGGAGTTAGTTTCAAATTGGCATAGTATTGATCCAACAGTTCCTTGGCATTTTCTTGTGGCAAATTTCCAATCTTCAGTTGAATGGTTTCCAATATTCTAAAATAGGCCTGGGGTATAAAGCCATACTTGTCCATGTGCAAAGTTTTGTTAATATTTTTCACAATGTTCTCGAACATTTGTCGGATTTTGGGCATCTCTTGCAGCAATTCGGGATGTATATGTCCGTAGATCCATTCATGGGCCATGGGCATTAGACTTTTGGCATTGGTCATACATTCATTGGGCGTATCCCGTTTATTGGCCATTTCCAAGTAGTGGATGAAACGCAGCTCCAAATAACGGACCAGGAAAATGTTATCGTATTCCTTGAGTACACTATCCAAGGCTTCCAAATAGGGAATATTGTCAATGGTGATTTGCATATTGGCTACATCTTGAGGCTTCATCAGAACGGTTAAATATTTTTTCAACCAAGGATAGGGCAATTCGCTGAATTTGAATATTTTCTCTTGCTTTTCCACCACCTTGATTTCATTCAATTTATCCTCAAACTTATCGACGATTTCCCACAACTTCATAAAATCCATGGTGCCCTGAGGCAGGGGGATGCTGCTGTTATATTCCTCCATGTTGTAATTATTGATAAATCTGAATGTCTCTTCAAAAGGTTTGCTCAGATAAATCATAAACTTATTGGCATCCTGATAGCTAATGGCCTCCTTAAGGAATATGTCATTGAAACCATATTTACGGAAAATGGCCAAGGTGGTGGGCCAGTCGAAAACCACATCCTTGTTATCGTTGGGTGTCAGCAATGCCCATTTCATATTTTCTTCCCGCTCCAGCCAATGCATATAGTCGCGAGCCACAAATTCTTGCTTTTCCATACACGAATCATAGAAGTATTTAAACATTTTCACAAATCCTGGCATAACCTCCAAGGATGTCTTTTTCAAATAGTCTATCACTTCGATGTTGGCCTCATAGTTCAACATATCAGCAACGGTGGTGAAATTATCCCTTGTGTCTTCATGGTGATCGGACCATTTGTAACAGGCATATTGGAGGAAATTTGAACAGGGTGTATAATCCTTGTCCAAGGAGTCCATTAGAATGCTGCGTTGTTTAAGATTCAGGGTCTTATAATCCTCAGTGCCCCGCACCACAGCAAGGCAGCCGGCCAACAGCAACAAAAGCTGGATAATGATTTTCATATTTTCACTCCTCTCCGGCCAAGCTTTCTTTCTATTTAAATTTCAAATCAAAACTAATTTTCAAATCAATAATATTCCAGCTTATATACCATCGAATATTTTCTAATAAGTAATAATATCAGTTTCAGAAGGTTAAATAGGACGAAGCTAAATATTTTTTTCTTTTTTCAGATAATCTCAAATTGAAACAAAAATTTCTTATCACAAAGTCAAGTCAAATGAGTCCGAATTGCAGCTTGCGGTCTTCAATGCATTTGTTTAAATTCGAATAAAACGATAAAGACAACAAAAAAATATAAACCAAAGCTTTTCAAAGTGGTGTCATATCGTACCAAATTTTTGCATTTTGTGTACCATTCCCCCAAAATACAAAAAGCGGAAGAAAATATTCAAATTGGATTTTAAATCTCCTACTCATTTTGTTGGTCCTTGAAAAGGATATTCCTTTAAAAAATCCACGCCTTCTGTTGGTCCTTGAAAAGGATATTCCTTTAAAAAATCCACGCCTTCTGTTGGTCCTTGAAAAGGATATTCCTTTAAAAAATCCACGCCTTCTGTTGGTCCTTGAAAAGGATATTCCTTTAAAAAATCCACGCCTTCTGTTGGTCCTTGAAAAGGATATTCCTTTAAAAAATCCACGCCTTCTGTTGGTCCTTGAAAAGGATATTCCTTTAAAAAATCCACGCCTTCTGTTGGTCCTTGAAAATGATATTCCTTTAAAAAATCCACGCCTTCTGTTGGTCCTTGAAAAGGATATTCCTTTAAAAAATCCACGCCTTCTGTTGGTCCTTGAAAAGGATATTCCTTTAAAAAATCCACGCCTTCTGTTGGTCCTTGAAAAGGATATTCCTTTAAAAAATCCACGCCTTCTGTTGGTCCTTGAAAAGGAAATTCTTTTAAAAAATCCACGTCTTCTTTGAGTCCTTGAAAAGGATACTCTTTAAAAAAAATTAACGTCTTCTTTGAGTCCTTGAAAAAATATTTTTTTTAAAAAATCCACGCCTTCTGTTGGTCCTTGAAAAGGATATTCCTTTTAAAGACCAACAGAAGGTATGGAGTTTTTAAAGACAAACAGATGGCGTGAAATTTTTAAAGACCAACAGATGGCGTAGATTTTTTAAAGACCAACAGATGTCGTGTAGTTTTTAAAGACCAACAAAAGGCGTGAAATTTTTAAAGACAAACATATGGCGTGGATTTTTTAAAGACCAGACAAACAGATGGTGTGGAGTTTTTAAAGACCAACAGATGGCGTGGAGTTTTTAAAGACCAACAGATGGCGTGGATTTTTTAAAGACCAACAGATGGCGTGGAGTTTTTAAAGGCCAACAGATGGCGTGGAGTTTTTAAAGACCAACAGATGGCGTGGATTTTTTAAAGACCAACAGATGGCGTGGAGTTTTTAAAGGCCAACAGATGGCGTGGATTTTTTAAACACCAACAGATGCATGGTGGATTTTTCTAAACAAAAATTTTTTGGAGACTTATCGTGTGAGTAGGGTCCCTGCAAAATACACAACAACAATTATGATTTGTATTTCTATAAATTGTTATGGTTTTAATTTTATTTCCGTTTTTAATCACTTCTAAAACATGATAGCTAATGGTCTCCCTAAGGAAAATGCCATTGAGGTCATATTTACGGAAAATGACCAAGATGGTGTGCCAATCGAAATCCACATCCTTACAATCGTTGGGAGTCAGCAATGCCCTTTTCATATTTTCTTCCTGTGCCAGCCACTGCATACTGTCGAGAGCCACAAATTCTGGTTTTTCCCTACACGAATCATAGAAGTGTTTAAACATTTTCACAAATCCTGGCATATCTATGGGTGTCTTTTTCAAATAATCTATCACTTCGATGTTGGCCTCATAGTTTAACATTTTTGCAACGGTGGTTATACTCCATATTCAGTGGAATCCATGGAATCCATTAGAATGCTATGTTGCTTAAGATTCAGGGCCTTATAATCCTCAGTGCCCCATACCAGAGCAAAGCAACCGGCCAACATCAACAAAAGCTGAAAAATGTTTTCATATTTTCACTTTCTTGCAATCTCTCTATTTAAATTTCCAATCAAAACTAATTTTTTAAAACATATATTTTTTATAACTAATAATATCACTAGTAGGAGATTAAAAGGGTTATTCTTTTCTATTTCGAACAAGACAGATAATCTCAAATTAGAAAAAAAAAACTGTTATCACAAACTCAAGGCCACTCAAATCTAATAAAAATGAGCCTGAATTGCATCTGGCCGTAAATGAATTTATTTCTATTGAAATAAAATGATCAAGATCGAAACATGCAGTAAACCTTTGCAAAGTGTTGCCAAATTGTATCAAATTTAGAGGAGTGATAAAACGAAAAATTTTTTTTCAAGAATATTTTTTCAACGACCAACAGAAGGCGTGGATTTTTTAAAGAATATATTTTTTCAAGGTCTATAATTGGAGTGGGTTTTTTAAAAATACTTAAAATACTCTAATAGGCATGGATTTTAAAGAATCTTTTTTCAAGGTATCTAATGGGCGTGGAGTTGTTAAAGAATATTTTCCAGGACTATAAATAGGCGTGGATTTTTTAAAGAATATTTTTTCAAGTTTTCTAATAGGCATGGACGTTTTAAGGAATATTTTTCAAAGACTCTAATAGGCATGGATGTTTTAAAGAATATTTTTCAAAGTCAGGCGTGGATTTTTTAAGAATATTTTTTCAAGGTATTTAATGGGCGTGGAGTTTTTAAAGAATATTTTTTTCAGGACTATAAATAGGCGTGGATTTTTTAAAGAATATTATTTCAACTTTTCTAATAGGCATGGATGTTTTAAAGAATATTTTTTCAACTTTTCTAATAGGCATGGATGTTTTAAAGAATATTTTTTCAACTTTTCTAATAGGCATGGATGTTTTAAAGAATATTTTTTCATGGTCTCTAATAGGCGTGGATTTGTTAAAGGATATTTTTTCATGGTCTCTAATAGGCGTGGATTTGTTAAAGCATTTTTTTTCAATAATCAACCAAAGAAGGCGTGTCTGTCCACAAAATTTTAGTCACTAACGCAACTACACTTTTCCCTTTAACCAACAGTGAAGGTTTCATGGAAATATTCCAACTCATTGCTGAGATATAGCGATTTATGAAATTTATTTTAAGTCAAATATAGCTGCTATAGAATTCTGGTTGCCTGTTCATAAAAAAATCCAAATTAGATGACATTTTACGTTTTTGAAGGTCCTCCCTCAAATGTTGATATCAACTAAATACATTCGTTGTAGCATAGTTTTAGGCATTACATTATTTGGTTGGAAATACGATTTTATTTAACGCCTAAAAATATGCTTTAAATGATTACAGTAACAAACTATTTTGTAGTTGACTGATGTGGCAACACTGGCATTGCCTTATTTTTGTGCATCTGAGAAATGAATAAATATCACTGTTTTAAATTTTCAGTTAACAGGCGCCCAGCATCGTTTAGCAGCTACATTTTTGACAACAAGATAAAATTCAAATGCCTATATCTCGACAATGCGTGAAGCGATTTTCATGAAAATTTCGAGAGGGGTTAGGGGAAATTGTCTAGTTTTACTGGGTAGCAATAACGAAGAAGAAAAACAACGTCTATGGGTATGATGGTCTGTTTTGTAAGCATTGTTAGACAAAAATATAGGCTTGGCGGTTTGATGGTCTGAAAAGAAAAATTATTAGACACACATCGAAGCTTGGAGGTCTGTTGGTCAAAATTGATGAAGAATTTCTTAAAATTGTTTAAGAAATATTCTTTAAAAAATCAACACCTATTTATGGTTCTTGAAAAAATATTCTTTAAAAGCCCAACGCCTATTGACGGAGGTTATTTCGAGGTTTTTTAAAAATTAAAAAAAAATGAATTTAATATAGATACCAAATATTATCAATTACCAGAGAGAAAAAATATCATTAATTTATTCGTTTTATACATATATTTATAAATTGTTTATTAAAAAGGATAAATGTAATGTGTATTAGTTTTGAGACAATACCGTAACCCTTAATTGTATTATTTGTAATTTTAAATATTATAAGTTTATTATATATATTTTTTGAAAAATGTGATTATGTTCAAAAGAGAGGTTAATGTAAAATCTAAAAAATGTGGGATCCATGTGCATTTTGTTTTGCATTCGATGTTGAAATATCATTTAATTTTTTTCTTTAATTTATTTATCTTTTTTTTAGTTTAGCAGAAGGAATTTTTATACAAAATCTATTTTCGATTAAATGATGATATTTCAAAGTAATAAAATCTAATTACATTTTCGGATTCGAAACCGATTTTTAAGATGAAATGTGTTTATGTTCCAAAAGCGACAAATTATGAAAAAGGTAGGTAGGTAGGCGAAGCCATTGGATCCCTTTATAATTTACATTTTAAAGCAGCTAATAATTTTATTATTCTTTTTTCTCTATCCAATTGATATATAACAAATAATGCACAAATATAGTCAAATATTTAATAAACAACACTTATAGACAATAAGTAGAGTGATAAACAATTTAAAAAAGAAGCAGATGATACAAAAATCAAAAGAATGATTCAAGTCAATACAAAAAAAAAGAGAAAATTCCAAATATTCAAATCTATGATTGTGATAAACTATTACGAGAACTAGGACGTTCAATTGTCATCGTTTGCTGGGGCACCTGGCTATCGGGACTGATGCCAAGGCCAGAATAGATTTCCTTCATAACAAACAGTATGGTATCCTCAGAATCCCTGTAATTAAAAAAAAAGAAACAAAAAACAAAATATTTTTCAAAATTTTTATTTTCATTTAACCAAGTTCAACAAAACTTACCAATAACACACATGACTACTCAATGCAAATATGTACTCGTTTATAAATTCCAAGGGTGCCTCTTGCAGTACATAGTCAATGCGTTTGGAATCATTTAATTTACCCAGAGGGAAATCTATTTCAACCATATCATCTGATACGGCAGTGGATACCGAATCGGTACGTGTACGTTGTGGCAATGGCAAATGTTGGCTACTGCTGCTGTTAGTTTGTTGTTCATCACCCGGCGACAGATGTTCCTGATTGGGTGTTTGTGATTGCGATTGTTGTTGGCTGCCACCACTGCCTTGACGTTCCATTTGCATTTGCATTTCAATGACCTGCAAATATTAAAATAAAATTAAATTGGAGGTTAGATTAAATTAAAAAATAATTATAAAAAAATCCACGCCTTAGGAAAAATATTTATAAAAAAATCCCCGATTTATATTAGACTTGATTTATATTGGGTCTTCTAGACCCTTGAAAATTTGTTATCTTTAAAGAATCCTCGCCTCATGTAGACCCTTGAAAATTTGTTATCTTTAAAGAATCCTCGCCTCATGTAGACCCTTGAAAATTTGTTATCTTTAAAGAATCCTCGCCTCATGTAGACCCTTGAAAATTTGTTATCTTTAAAGAATCCTCGCCTCATGTAGACCCTTGAAATTTTTTTATCTTTAAATAATCCACGCCTCATGTAGACCCTTGGAAATGTTTTATCTTTAAAGAATCCACGCCTCATGTACACCCTTGAATATTTTTTTCTTTAAAAAATCCACGCCTCATGTAGATCATTGAAAATTTTTAATTTTTAAAGAATCTACGCTTTAAAGAATCCACGCCTCTTGTAGACCCTTGGAAATTTGTTATCTTTAAAGAATCCACGCCTCATATAGACTCTTGAAAATTTTTAATTTTTAAAGAATCTACGCTTCATGTAGACCCTTGAAAATTGTTTATCTTTAAAGAATCCACGCCTCTTGTAGACCCTTGGAAATTTGTTATCTTTAAAGAATCCACGCCTCATATAGACTCTTGAAAATTTTTTCTTTAAAAAATCCACGCCTTCTCTTGGTCCTTGAAAAAATATTCTTTAAAAAATCCACGCCTTCTCTTGGTCCTTGAAAAAATATTCTTTAAAAAATCCACGCCTTCTCTTGGTCCTTGAAAAAATATTCTTTTAAAAAATCCACGCCTTCTCTTGGTCCTTGAAAAAATATTCTTTAAAAAATCCACGCCTTCTCTGGAGGCTTGAAAAAATGTTCTTTAAAAAATCCACGCCTTCTCTGGAGGCTTGAAAAAATTTTCTTTAAAAAATCCACGCCTTCTCTGGAGGCTTGAAAAAATTTCTTTAAAAAATCCACTCCTTCTGTAGTACCTTAAAAAATATTCTTCAAAAAATCCACGCCTTCTGTAGAACCTTAAAAAATATTCTTTAAAAAATCCACGCCTATTTATGGTCCTTGAAAAAATATTCTTTAAAAAATCCACGCCTATTTATGGTCCTTGAAAAAATATTCTTTAAAAAATCCACGCCTATTTATGGTCCTTGAAAAAATATTCTTTAAAAAATCCACGCCTATTTATGGTCCTTGAAAAAATATTCTTTAAAAAATCCACGCCTATTTATGGTCCTTGAAAAAATATTCTTTAAAAAATCCACGCCTATTTATGGTCCTTGAAAAAATATTCTTTAAAAAATCCACGCCTATTTATGGTCCTTGAAAAAATATTCTTTAAAAAATCCACGCCTATTTATGGTCCTTGAAAAAATATTCTTTAAAAAATCCACGCCTATTTATGGTCCTTGAAAAAATATTCATTAACAAATCCACGCCTTTCTGTGGCCCTTGAAAAGATAATCATTAAAAATCCACGCCTGTCTATGGTCCTTTGAAAAATATTCTTTAAAAAATCCACGCCTATTTTTAGTCCTTGAAATAATATTCTTTAAAAAATCCACGCCTATTTATGGTCCTTGAAAAAATATTCTTTAAAAAATCCACGCCTATTTATGGTCCTTGAAAAAATATTCTTTAAAAAATCCACGCCTATTTAT